AATCCACTTCTGCATAAAGAGCAGAATGGTTCCTTTTTCTTTTCCTACTGGGCTTCTAGTATGACCCAATGGGAGAATGAGGGGCAGCAGAGAACATCTTCGAGCTATCTTGCTGATTTTGTGTGCTCTGAAAAGCAGAAGCTTCTCTCTTTTGGAACCACCTGATGTCTGGGAATAAACATTTTCAAACATGAGACTGAAAATGGGATTTGCTTTAAATCAGCTTCTAAAGCAGAGCAAATCCTGCATTTTCTCAGGATTTACATTCGATTTCTCTTCCATATTCCTTTCTGGACTGAGGGTGTCTATTTGTGACACACACAAAATGAGAGAGGCCCCAGGCACACTTCTCAGCCATATGTATGGAAGTCAACCTTATTTGTTTTATTTTGAAATATATAGACTGGGTGTGGGTGAACCTTTGGCCCTCCAGATATTGCTGAACTACAACTCCCATCATGCTTGGCCATTGGCCATGCTTGCTGGGGCTGATGGGAGTTGTATTTCAGCAACAACTGGTGGGCCAAAGGTCAAAGCAACAACAAAAGAGGTTTATAATGCAAGTACGTCAATATAAATCTTTGCAATGAACAGTTTTAAAAGCACCAATAATCACAATTAAAACAAAAATAACCCGCAAACCCCAAATCACCAGATGATAGGGGATCCAACTGCTGATGGCCAGCACAGAATGGGTTGAAGAGGCGATTGTTGATACAGACCTTTAATAGCACTCTGAACACAAAAACCTTGTTCAGGGATGGGGAAATCACTCTGTGGCCTGGGAGATAGGAAGCCCAGAGCACTTGTTCTTTAGATATCCCTTTTATGAAGAGGCACATAGTAAGACCATTGATCCCCTACTGGTGAGGCTCTCTGACTTCCCAGAAAAGCAAAAATTTGACCTTTTCCTCTTAGGCAAAGATCAGAAGACGACCCGGATGGTCGCCAGATTCTGTGTACAGATCTGTAGGTGCAGATGATCTCCCAACACAAACTAGTTTATTAAGAAAATCCCCATACTCGGTTCCATGGGTGACTCTGGGTCAGCTCAGCTCACTGCGGTAGTTTATTTCTGTACATTGTTTCTGAATTTATTCTTGTACATTGTTTTAATTGTTTGTCTTCCTTCTGTGACTGTACCCCCAAGTGTGTTTTATAAGCTGGTCTCCGACCGTAATAAATTATCTAATCTAATCTCTGTGGCCCACTGGTTGTTGGACTTTTAACTCCCATCAGCCCCAGCCTGCCTGGTCAAGGATGATGGAAGTTGCAGTTCAACATTAGGAGGGTCACAGGTTCCCTTCGTTGGCCTAGTAATGAGAACAGGAGTAGCCAGTGGGGTGTCCTGCAGATGTTTTGGACTACAACTCCCATCAGCCCCAGCTAGGATGGTTGATGGTCATGGATGATGGGAGTTGTAGTCCCAAACATCTTGCAGGGCACCACATTGCCCATCCCTGTGTTGGATCAGCTCGGGCTTTATACTGAACGCAGTGGAGACGCTGTTTCTGTTAGGATATTTCTGTTCCACCTTAAAAGGGAGCAGGCTGTGAGTCACAGAGTCTGCGTATTTCCTGTTCACAGGATGTTTATGTTTTCTATTGCTTTGGTTTCTCTCTGTGTGTCGTAGACACTAAAGCAGGCAGTCATGTTTTTCTGTGTTCTGATCAATGCTGAATAAACTTGTAAATAATGCTCTCCTGAGTGCGACTTTGGCTGTGCATTATCTGCTGATATAGAGTGTGCATGAGCTCTGGAATGTGGCAAGCTATTTCTAGAAACTCATGTCACTAATTGCTGATACTGCGTGACTACGGGAGATCGATGGATCGTCCGGAGACGGCTTGGGGGCCATGATGGACTTTGTCTCCCTGGCAGTATCCCAACAGTTTCCTGGGTGGCAGTTGTCTTTCTCCCTTAGTTGTCTTCCATATGACCTCTACCTGCACATACTGTTGCTTCTTCCACAAGTCAGGGCTTATCCACATTTATCTTTCCTCCAAGCTGTCCTGACGTGATCTGCACTTTCAAGCTCTGTGTCTGAGTGCTTCTTTTTAAAATTTATTGCTCCTGAGCTTTCCCTATGAAAACCCACTCTTCAAAGCTGAATTGGAGCAATCCGCAGAAAACCCAAATTGCCATTTGTTGCTTTTCAGCTTTAAAGAGCAAGTGGAAACTGTTTGTTTGATAGGAGACTAACCCTACATAGGGAGACTGCACATATCTTCACTATTACCTTCTTCTTCTTCTTCTTCTTCTTCTTCTTCAATAAAATAAAATAAAATAAAATAAAATAAAATAAAATAAAATAAAATAAAATAAAATAAATAAAATAAAATAAAAAAATAATAAACCAATGGCTAGGATTTGGCCAAAAAACATTACCACGACAATTTCTGCCTTCCCGTCCGCATGACACATTCATTCCTCACGGCTTCTCCCTCTCTTTCCTCGAACCATTGTTTTATTCATCTCCTTCCAGCTGGGCTCCAGCAGCGAGAAGACGCTCTCCTTTGACTTTGGCGTGTTAGAGTGTAAAAGAGCTGACCTGGCCGAGGATCAAACTTGACCCTAAACTGTTGGGGGAAATTTGCAGACAGTCTCATGCCTCCCTTCCCAACCTCTCAGCTCTTTCACAAGACCTGAGAATGTTACCTCTGATCTCTTGAAGCAAGAGGCTGCTGCAGGGGGAGGCAGGTTTCTGAGTGACTGTGATTTGCAGCCGGTTGAGCCAAACATGAAGGGGCAAGAGATGGACAAAAAGTGGGGATAAATCTATGCATAGTATCACGAGGAGGGGTTTTGGGGGGGGCCTTTCCTGTTGTAGCAAATTCTGACAGGTGATGTGTGCTGATAAAGCAAATAAAGGACTATCCTGAAGTCCTTCCCTTTCTTCTTAAGCACACTGGCCTAGCAAGACCATCTGAACTTGGCCAGAAATTGTTCTGCCTCACTTCTCTTCCCTTGTATCAAGAACACCACATTTTTAAAGAATTGACTGGTTTTGCTTTAATTATAAGGCTAGATGTGGCGAGTGATGCAGCAGGGAGTGGTTGGGAAAGGGAAGAAAAACACATCTCATGTTCATGCCTGCCTACTTAGAAGCAAGCCCCACTGAGTTCAGCGCATAGGAGCCAACTCCAAGGGGCCGAGGGGTCTTTGTCCCCCCAGTAAAATATTTAAGGGGGCTGCCCCCCAAGTTGATGGGCATTGCCATTCAAATGGTGTGTGTGCACCATGTCATGTGATCAGTTACATGCCCACCCCCATATTTTGTTCAAGCTGGCACCCCTGGTTCAGTGGGACTTTCTCCTCCTAGGAGTTCAACCTTAATTGCAGGATAAACCAAGCCAGCCCAGGCCCGAGTAGTTTCATAAACATTCTTGAAGCTCCTTAAACCTCAATCCTATCTATGCTTTCCAAGAGCAGTAGGTCCTATTGAAGTCAATAGGGGTTATTGCAGGGCAGATAAGCATAGGACTGCACCGTTTGAAGAGGAAAGGCAGGAGACAAAATTTGGCAAATGAATCAAAATATAAGCAGACAACTATAGGGCCCTTTCCTCGTTTTCTAGGAGTCAGGGAGAAAGAGCTCTGCCAATCAGCTCCATAGCAGTTTGTACATTCTGTACTGATATAAACAAACAGTGCAATTCTGTTCATCAGGTGTGGGGAACATTTGATCTTCCAGATGTTTCTGGGCTTCCAGATGTTGCTGGACAACTCCCATTGTCCCTGGACGTTGGTCATGCTGACTGGGGCTGATGGGCGTACTAGTTTGACAGCACCTAGAGGGCCAAATGTTCCCCACTTTTTATTTATCTATTTATTTAATTTATTTATATACTGCTCTATACCTGGAGGTCTCAGGGCGGTTCACAGAACAATTTACTCAAGAGTCCATCCCACTATACTCAGTGGTCTTTTTCACTCATAAACCAATTACAGCCAGTGATGGCCAAACTTGGCCCTCCAGCTGTTTTGGGACTACAATTCCCATCATCCCTGACCACTGGTCCTGTTAGCTAGCGATGATGGGAGTTGTAGTCCCAAAACAGCTGGCGAGCCAAGTTTGGCCATCACTGAATTATACCATTGCAGTCTTAGGCTGCAAGCCTAGCCATGTCTGCTCAGAAGTAAGTCCCATTGGACTCAATTGGCCTTACTCCCAGGCAAGCAAGGTCAGCACTGCAGCCTTCACCTCTCACACACAATGAAATGTTAATGCACATTGATAAAATGCCAAGCGACAGCGTGGCTGTGAAATACAGGTCTGGATATGCAAAGACCTACCAAAACGTTGAGACTATTCCATTAGGCCCTGGCCTAGGGAGAAGGGCAACCCCTTCGTGGCCAGTGTTTCCCATGTTGCATTTGGCAGCTTGTGCTTGTGATCCTGGAGAAGAGTGACCAGTGGGGTGCCACAGGGTTCTGTCTTGGGCCCGGTCTTATTCAACATCTTTATCAACGACTTGGATGATGGACTCAAGGGCATCCTGATCAAATTTGCAGATGACACCAAACTGGGAGGGGTGGCTAACACCCCAGAGGACAGGATCACACTTCCAAACAACCTTGACAGATTAGAGATCTGGGCCAAAACAAACAAGATGAATTTTAACAGGGAGAAATGTAAAGTATTGCACTTGGGCAAAAAAAATGAGAGGCACAAATACAAGATGGGTGACACCTGGCTTGAGAGCAGTACATGTGAAAAGGATCTAGGAGTCTTGGTTGACCACAAACTTGACATGAGCCAACAGTGTGACGCGGCAGCTCAAAAAGCCAATGCAGTTCTGGGCTGCATCAATAGGAGTATAGCATCTAGATCAAGGGAAGTAATAGTGCCACTGTATTCTGCTCTGGTCAGACCTCACCTGGAGTACTGTGTCCAGTTCTGGGCACCACAGTTCAAGAAGGACACTGACAAACTGGAACGTGTCCAGAGGAGGGCAACCAAAATGGTCAAAGGCCTGGAAACGATGCCTTATGAGGAACGGCTAAGGGAGCTGGGCATGTTTAGCCTGGAGAAGAGGAGGTTAAGGGGTGATATGATAGCCATGTTCAAATATATAAAAGGATGTCACATAGAGGAGGGTTATTTTCTGCTGTTCCAGAGAAGCGGACACGGAGCAATGGATCCAAACTACAAGAAAGAAGATTCCACCTAAACATTAGGAAGAACTTCCTGACAGTAAGAGCTGTTCGACAGTGGAATTTGCTGCCAAGGAGTGTGGTGGAGTCTCCTTCTTTGGAGGTCTTTAAGCAGAGGCTTGACAACCATATGTCAGGAGTGCTCTGATGGTGTTTCCTGCTTGGCAGGGGGTTGGACTCGATGGCCCTCGTGGTCTCTTCCAACTCTATGATTCTATGATTCTATGATAATCACCATTTTAATCAACATGTCCTCTGTCTTCATGTGTCAGGCCAGGGCAGGTTGTGGGGTTGTTGGTGTTTTTGGTCATCAGCCCCTTTCCTTGCAGCTGGGAGGTGGGAAGTGAGTGGGAGTGAGAGAGCTTTAGACCCCAACCATGTGGGTCTGTTTCCTCCTCATTATCTCATGGTTGCCGTTTCTTCGCTCTCTGCACTTTTCAAAGGACCCCATTATTTCCAATCTCCTTCACTTGTCAAAAGTAATTTGGGGATTTATTATTATTATTAAGACAACATGGCCCTCGACCCCCTCGGTCTCTGTGGGGTGGGGGTGGGGGGCTGCCTCTCTCCTTTCAAACCTTCACCTTCCCATTTCCATTCACACCCCCTTCCCACCCTGCAGGCCCCTCTCCCTTCTCTCTGGACAAGGCTGCTGAGCTCACATTCAGCAAGCAGAACTCCAGTCCCAATTAGCAGCCTTCCCAAAGGGACAGGAATTTTAATTAGTAGGCTGGTCAATTATATCAATGGACAGTCTTACCTTTCATTCCTTTCCGCAGCATTCTGTTTTCGGTCCCTTAGCAGTCCTTTTGCCCCCAAGTGATTCGCCTTCCCAGGAATGGCTGCCTCCAAACCACAAAAAATCACTTGGCTTTTAGATCCTAGCTAAGGGATGGAAGGCTCTGTCCGTTTTTGGTTCTCTTGGTTTCTTGTTTCTGCACTTTTACATCCAGTTCTCTGCAGCCACCTGTGAGTTTTGCCATTACAAATCCTTGTGAAAATTCTTGAGCATTTCAGTGCAAATTTCTCCTAGCAGACAGATTTGTACAGGCAGTCTCAACCAATGTGCACACTTTTACAAACAAGAGTTTTAAATGAGCAGCTACTTCGAAGAACGGTGCTGTCTCCACTGAACTGTCTCCATTGAATGCCTGGTCATTTCCACTGCACTGAGAGTAGAGTTTTCAACATTTTTTGTATGGACAGCTGACCTCTGTGTCCCATCAGATATGGTACAGTGGATTTTCGGGTTGCGAACGTGATCCATGTGGGATGCACGTTCACAACCTGCAGCGTCTGCAACACGCAGCTGCGCGGGTTGTGATTTAGCTCATCTGCGCATGCGCAAAGCACAATTTAGCGCTTCTGCACATGCGCGGCCGCCGAAACCCGGAAGTAACCTGTTCCAGTACTGGCGGGTTTTGGCGGTCCATAGCCCAAAAAAACGCAACCTGAAGCGTCTGTAACCCGAGGTATGACTGTATTTGACAATCCACTCCATTACAAAGACAGTTTGCCATGTGCCACTGAGGGGCTGGGGTGAGGTAGAGGAGATCAAGTCTATCATCCAAAAAACTAGTTGCACAATTCTTTGGACTGTGGCCACGGTGACTTGGGGGGCCTTTGGGGGCCAGATATAGAAGCCTAGGCATGTGGGAACTACTAAATAGAAGTTAGCTCCTCCATGCACAAACACGTGTTTCGATAATGCTGAACAAGGAGACAAACCCTCCAATTCCACCTGTTTAGTCATCTCAGAAACTTGTTTCCTATCCCCGCATCTGAGTGGTGTTGGAGCACCATAGCAGCTCAGTTGACAGAGCACCTGCTTTGCAGATTCCCTTCGGGCACCCGAGTCTCGCCAGACACACGAGGCATGAAGCATCACCCTCGGCCCCGAATACATTGATCTCAGTGCGTTATTGATCGAATAAATCTGACATTTGAGCTCATTATCGTTAAACGCGGGTGCTTTACTACCCTTTCATCATAAAGACGAACATCAACCTCCCCCTCCCTCCCCGAAAATTTACGTTCATATAACGATTTTCACTTTTCAGGCTCAGGGTATTGTGGCATTGGAATTGCTTCATTTAGGAATTTGCTATTGTAGCAAATTCCGACGGCTGATGGATGCTGAACTGTAAATAAATAAATAAACTGAACTCCTTCCCTTTTCTTCTTTAGCACACAGAGCTAGCTGAACTTGACTGGAAATGGCTCCCCATGCCCCTTGCTCCCCCACTGCCTCTTGCATTCCTATTGACATGGGCAATCTTAATATAATTACAAGGCTAGGGGTGTCACGGACAGCATCTGCCTGCTCCTATATGAAAACAAAGTGTGGGTGGGTCTGTACCAGGGGTTTCCCAAACTTGGGTCTCCAGCTTTTTGAACTACAGTTCCCATCATCCCATACCACTTGTCCTGCTAGATAGGCATGGTGGTATTTGTAGTCCCAAAAGCAGCTGGAGACCCAAGTTTGGGAAACCCTGGTTCTACATTTTACATGAAAAGGAGTGGGGGTTTGGGGGAGGGGAGAGAAAGGAGCTCATCTCTTACTCCACATTGACTGATTGTACTGTACTGCCTCGCAATGCCAATCCAATAAGGAAGCCCCATTCAGTTCAAAATGGGACTCACTCCCAGTTGAGTGTGTATGGGATTGCTGCTTCGAGCAGTTTCCTTCCAGTTACCTAATAGAAGGTGTTAGGCCGGAAGAAGACTGGAACACAGGAAGTTACCTTATACTGAGTCTGACCAATGGGCTATCAACTCTACTCCTCTGATTGACATGAGATCGCTAGGGTTTCAGGCAGCCATCTTTTCCCTACCTGGAGTTACTGGGTGGACTGAACCTGGGACCTTTTACATGCAATGCATGTGCCACATCACTGGGCTACTGTGGCCCATCTCAGGAGCTTAAGGGGACAGAACTAGAGTAGTCCTGTGAATAAACAGGTCCCAAAGAGATTCCTCAGATCAGTTCCTAATAGTATATTTCCAAGCAGCCTCCTGCCCCTTCCACATGCACCTGTACCAATTTTCCTCCAGCCAACTCACCTCTTCACTCAACTTTGCTTAAAAAAAAAAAAGTTTTCTGTGGAGTAACACCGCTCCCTTCCGAACCTGCTGGACAGATGTTTGTTCATTTGAGGGAGAGGTAGTGGTTATGTCGCTCCGTAAGGGAGCTGGTTGCAGAGGTCACCCTTGAAAAATGGATCACACTAACTTACACATTATAAACTTTTAAATGGTCGGTTTTGTCTTCCTTTTGTTTTTATTTCTACACACATAGAGCCAGTGTGGTGTAGTGGTTAAGAGCGGTAGTCTCGTAATCTGGGGAACCGGGTTCGCGTCTCCGCTCCTCCACATGCAGCTGCTGGGTGACCTTGGGCCAGTCACACTTCTTTGAAGTCTCTCAGCCCCACTCACCACACAGAGTGTTTGTTGTGGGGGAGGAAGGGAAAGGAGAATGTTAGCCGCTTTGAGACTCCTGAAGGGGAGTGAAAGGCGGGATATCAAATCCAAACTCTTCTTCCAAAACATTGGGTGCCTCCAGGCTGTCAGTTTTTGTTTTCTTTTGCTAAGCCTTTCCTACGTGTCCAAAGGCAGTTGATTGATGCTTCAGGCTCAACACTTGACTGGACCTGAAGCCGGAACAGTGAGCTTTGCTTAACAGTTTGTTTACGGAACAGCGCTTTCTTTTTCACTGTGGAGGAATCCAGGACTGCACAGGCTTGCAGCTCGCCTCTCTTTCCTCCTAGCTGAAGGCAGGCGGTGAACCGATTATTTGTTCTGCCACTGACATCCTGTGGTCACAGCTGCTCACGCAAAGATGAACTGGATGGAGGAGGGGAAAGACAAAAGAGGGAAACTTCCTTTGCTTATCACACCTACACTTGGTTTGAACCTATGCTTTAGGGATGCCACCTTGGCGACAGGCCCTGCTCTGTTGCGTTTGGCATGCAGGGATGAAACAGGCATCACCCTTTTTCCTCGCTGCATCTCAATACAAAGAAACACTTTGCTGCTTGATTTCTGCATGTGGGTGCAGAAGCAAAACCAGAAAACGTGGCAACCTTGTGGTGATCAGATTGCTGCTTTTACACTGTATTGACTGATTGGTACAGGTCAGGGCTGTAAAGGGACTCCTGACAGTTAAGCCCAGTCGCGGACGACTCTGGGGTTGCGGCGCTCATCTTGCTTTACAGGCTGAGGGAGCCAGCAATTGTCCGTTCTGCAGACAGTTTTTCCGGGTCATGTGGCCAGCATGACTAAGCCACTTCTGGTGCAATGGAACATCAAAACCAGAGCAGCTCACGGAAACACCGTTTACCTTCCCGCCGGAGCGGTACCTATTAATCTACTTGCACTGGCATGCTTTAGAGCTCCTAGGTTGGCAGGAGCAGGGACCAAGCAACAGGAGCTCACCCCGTTGCGGGGATTCGAACCGCCAACCTTTTGATCGGCAAGTCCAAGGTTTAGACCACAGCGCCACCCACGTCCCTCAAGAGAGGGTTAGGAGCTGCAATTCACAGAGCAGTTTAACAATCAATCTCTCTTCCTAGGGACCTCTGGGAACTGTAGCTCTGTGAGGAGGTCTCCTGACAACTTTCAGCACCCTTTACAAACCACTCTTCCCAGGATTCTTTGGGGGAAGCCATGGCTGATTCAAGTGGCATCATAGGGAGTGCTTTAAATATATAGTCTGGATGTGGCCCCACTCTCTTAATAACTTAGAATAGGGCTGTTTTGGTTTTGTTTTTAAACCCATTCTTTTCAATGGTGTGATTTTTCCCCCTGTTAAAAATGCAATAACTCCCTCCGCCATCTCCCTTCCTCACTGTTTAAGCATTTTTCAACCCAAGGAAGAAAAGTAATAGTTTGCCACCCTGTTTGTCCAGCGGCGGCTCAAATTACAGCTCAAATTACAATTCTCACTCGAATCATGAAAATAACAAACTTTGAAAACTGTATTTTCAGATAATGAGTACATTTCAAGGCAATCATGATGTGTTTGCAGCTCTAAGGAGGAAATGAAGACCAAGCCACCGGATAAGTTATTCACTGTGAAATATTTCCTTGGTTCTGATAATGACGTTATCCAAGTGTCAATGGATTTAGAGTCACAATCAAATATTCAATGGCTTGTTTCCCCAAAGGTCATCTGAGACAGGGATGCCATTTTAGGTTTCAGTAATGGGAAGGCAAAGATTGCTACACTAGCACAGACTTTACTGGAAAGTAAAGCGTCTTTCTCTACACTCCCTTAATTAAAAGGGGGGGTGCTCCGTTCAGCAGAGCCCCTCTAGTCCAGCATCCCATTGTCATAGTGATCAACCAGATGCTCAATGAGAAGTCCACAAGTGGAACCTGAGCACTTCAGCACTTCCTCCATCTATGAATCCCAGCAAATGTTATTCACAGTGGGCATAGTTGTTGGATAGCAGCCATTGCTAACCTCATCCTCCATGAATTTGTCTTCTTTTAAAGCCATCCAAGCCTCCTATGGGACCACATTCCACAGCTGTACTATGTACTGAGTGCAGATCTACACTCATGGTTTCTAACGTTAAGGAAGGGTTAAGGAATGGTTTTTATAATGTAGATGGGCACATGACGTCCTACTTTTAGCATTTATAATGCATTATTAAAATGTGACACCAGAGGGTGCTGCAGAGGAACCAGCTACCAGCCATAGAAAAATAGCATTTTGACAGAGAAAACAAAGGTAAGAAATGCTTTTAATTTACAAGTATGCTCTGTGATGTTTCAGAACGATATATCTAATAGCGTTCTAATAGTGTTAAACAGACTAGTGTAGATCCAGCCTGAGTGAATAAGTACTTTATTTCATCTGTACTGAATCTTCCAACATTCAGCTTCATTGGCTGTCTAGTGTTATGAGAGATGGATAAAAACTTTCTACATGCCATGAATTTTATATATATATATATATAAACCCCACTTTCTACTTGCCATGTATAATTTTATAAACTTCTAACATATCAACTCTTTATCTCCTTTTCCCTGGACTAAAAAAAAATCCCAGATGCTACAACCTTTTCTCATATGGAAGTAACTCCGTCCCCTTGATCATTTTGGTTGGCCTTTTCTGAACCTTTTTGAACTCCACGAGATGCTTTTTGAGGTAGAGATGTAGGCAAAATTCCAAAAGCACCATAGATTTGTATAATGGCATTATGGTATTGACGATTTTATTTTCAATTCCTTTCCTAATGATCCCTAGCGTCGCATTTGCCTTTTTCACAGCTGCTGCACACAGGATCGACATCTTCATCAAGCTCTCTGCTCAACCTCAAGGTCATGTTCCTTGTTAACAGCAAAACCTTGAGCTTGTCCCAGTATCTGATTGCCATTCAGTGCAGTTCTCTTAGCACAGGTGTCATAGGTGTGTGTCCTGGTACTCCTCTCAGCCACCTGGCTGCAGTGTTCTGCACCAGCTGTAGCTTCTGGACCAATCCCAAGGGAAGCCCCACATAGACGGCATTACAGTAATCCAATCATGAGGTTATCAATGCATGAATCACAGTGGCCAAGCTATTGCTCTCCAGGAAAGCGTGTCTAGAACCAGTGAACTCAATTTCTGGACCTAGGAACTGTTCACCCACAAAGTCTCAGTCTTACTAGGATTCAGCTTCCATCAGTTGGCACCTCATCCAGCCAACCACTTCATCCAAATCTGCCACAGTCCATGGTCTCTCCTAAGGTGTTTTAGAAATCATCAGCAAACTGATTTCTGACATTGTATGGCTGCTTTGGGCTGCTTTGTGAGGATTGCTATTGTTATCATTAATAATAAACCATGGAGTTGTTCTGCTTCAATCCTTTATCTCAGGATAACAGAAGTGAGAGAGTTAATTTTGCAAGGATTCAAACGAGGTTTTCTGTTGATGGGTGTGTTTTTTCCTTCTTCTTCTTTTTCAACTTATTCCGAACTCTGATTCATCTCTCCAACGTGTAATATATCAGCAGTTAAGGGACAGCTTTCCCAGGAGAACTGATCATGTAAACAAATGTGTATTGTGCGACTTGCACAATAGAAAGGATTCCCCCCCCCAAGGGTCATTATTCATACTTTAGTTATTATCCATCAAAATTCAGCGTACCGAGATCTTAAAGCACAATTTGTACGTTGCACTTGGATAGCTGCAGAGAGGAGGAGCGGCACAATCTGTGGGAATTTCTTAAATTTTCATTAACTCTGCAACAGCTGGCTTTGCAACGAATCTTTAAGTGAAGACAGACATCAGATTTTAAAGAGCTATTGCAGAAGATCATCACCCACAGAGAGAGCTCGTCTTTGTGGTTTGCATTGTGAGCGGACATATCAGAAAGCTGAACATCCCTAATTCTCACCCCTCCGCTTACGAATCAGGAGAGCCCTCTGCCTTTTTTTTTTAAGACAGTCTATGTCAATCTAGAGCATTCTTTCCCAAACTTGGGTCTCCAGCTGTTTTTGGACTACAACTCCCATCATCCCTGGCTAGCATGGCCAGTGGTCAGGGATGATGGGAACTGTAGTCCAAAAACGGCTGGAGACCCAAGTTTGGGAAACACTGATCTAGAGGGACGCTGGTGGCGCTGTGGGTTAAACCACAGAGCCTAGGACTTGCCGATCAGAAGGTTGGCGGTTCGAGTCCCTGCGACGGGGTGAGCTCCCATTGCTCGGTCCCTGCTCCTGCCCACCTAGCAGTTTGAAAGCACATCAAAGTGCAAGTAGATAAATAGGTACCGCTCTGGCGGGAAGGTAAACGGTGTTTCCGTGCTCTGCTCTGGTTCACCAGAAGCGGCTTAGTCATGCTGGCCATATGACCCGGAAGCTGTACCCGGAAGCTCCCTCAGCCAATAAAGCAAGATGAGCGCCACAACCCCAGAGTCGGTCACGACTGGACCTAATGGTCAGGGGTCCCTTTACCTATGTCAATCTAGTTGTGTGTAGACCATGTGTGTAGCCAATGTGGTGCCCTCCAGATGTTTTAGAGTACATCCCCCATTATCCCTAGTTATTGGCTATGCTGGCTGGGACTGATGTGAGTTGTAGGTCACAACAGCTAAAGGGCACCATCCCCTATGTAGACATTTGTCATCAGGTTAAAGTGACCTGCATGTTTGGCCAACTGCTGGGACAATAACTCTGCTAGGGTCTCCACCACCAACTGGGGAAGGCATCTGTAAAACTATTGAATACTCTGACCATTGGACAGTAGAGAGAGAAAGCAGCAGCAGCATCTGGTATTTGCCAACACCATCCCATGATGGAAAATAAACATCGCTACCCCTACCTGCCATTCCATGCTCCCTTCAACTCCTCCTCCTGCTTACCTTAACATGACATACCCCAAGGGATCTTTCAACCAAATAACAAATCTCAAGCATGATTCATTGCAAAAGAGGCCCAATGACAGTGTTGGCATTAGTTTGTGCTGCAAGACCTTGTCTAGCTGGCCATGTGCACCTCCTTCCAGACCTGGCATTGATTACAGCTGATAATTGTCTTCTAATTGGCCTGCAGCTGCTTATCTACCTCAGATAATTAAACTGAAGAGAAAAAAAGGAAGACAAAACAAGGAAAGAAAGGGGAACATCTATTCTTAAGCTCATTGACTATTCTGATCAATGGGTGGGAGGTCACTTTGGGCAGATCTAGAACAAAGAGCTGTCCTTGTTGGAAATGCACATATTATTGCAAGGTGGGTGTTTACTATTCGTTCTTAAAAATGTGGATCGGTTTTCCATTGAATCTGCAGGACGTACAACACAATAAGGGTGATTAAAGAAGGGTAACAGGTATCAAGTTGCAGAGTGTGAGGCTGAGCTATAGCACGGTGAATTGTCAGTTCCGTTGCTACCCCCGATGGCGGCCTCATTTCCTGCCATGGTGTTTCCTGAGTCTCAGACGTGAAGTAGGAGTTGGAATCTAGCAGGGTGATTGGTCAGTTTCGTTGTTACCACCTCCGATGGCGGCTTCCTTTCCTTTCCCGATGTAATGCATGTTCTTTGTACTTTCTTATCCATTTACTGTATATACTTTTCCCGATTTGAACTATAAAATGGTGATTTTCTTGGGTCAAAATGAGAGTACCCCTAAATATTTTTTTAAGAAAAAAAGCACTGGCTACAACCAGGCATGTTGTGCTGCCAATTCAGGGACATTGTCTTCCTTTCTTTTCCTCCTTCATCGGATTTAGTGATGGAACCCCCCCCCCCATTTAACTTTCTGGAGGACTTGGGTCTCCAATTCTCTTGAACCATGGAGATAATAGTCCTTTCCTGAGTCGATGCATCTCAGTAGCTCTACATGCAGAGACAATGCATCTAGCTGTCAGCTTCCACTGTGCTGTTACCTCCCTGCATGCCTGGATTCCCCAGTAAAATAAACTCCACCTGGCTGACAGGGAAGCTTCCATCCATCTCTTTGTTTTGGGCAGCAATTAATTTTGGACTCTTTAGTGTTTTAGACACAAATAAATAAGCCACAGAGGAGACGTCCACCAACCTTGAAAGTCAAGTGCAAATGGGACGCATGGAACCTTTCAAAGGAAAGGCTACAGATTCTGAAGTAGGCAGCAATTGGCTGACAGCAAGGGCTTGCAAGGTCTGAAGCCAACAGTTAGATCCGTGTCATTAGTGAAGAAGACAACGATGATCTATTCTTAGTTTTCTTTCCTACCACCCAGAGTGATGCAACAAGGGTCAGCAATCAGTAGTGCTCCTACAATGCATTTTGAATAAGGTAATGAGAATGTTTGGGGGTGTTATTGGTGGAGGGGCTAGATCCACTGGTGGATCCATGCCCTGGATCTTTTACTCAGTGCCCCAGGTCTGTTGGCGGCAGCACAGGATGGCAGTGGCAGCAGTGGCGTAGCGTGGGTTGTCAGCACCCGGGGCAAGGCAAGTAATTTGCGCCCCCTAACCCGTGGATTTGCGCCCCCTAGCCCGTGGATTTGCGCCCCCTAGCCCTAACCCCCAGATGTTGCGCCCGGTGCGGCCACCCCCCCTGCACCCCCCACGCTACGCCACTGAGTGGCAGCAAGATATAGACCAACCACTGCACTGCAAATCAGCTGTGCTGTTCACAGCAGCTGTGAGAGTGGTGGGAGTCAAGTGCTGTACATTAGCATATGTAAATGTTATGCAAACGTGGTTATCTATGCCCCATACCTTTGACTCATTAGTAATACCCATGGGCATACTTGGAAGGGAGAAGGCTGAGAGTTGAATTCAAAATGTATTTGTCATCTTTCAGTGACCCATTATTCAGCAGCCTCACCTTGGCCTTTGGCTGAGATTTATGTAACGACCGCAGAGTATATGGCCACAAAATCTTATAAAGGTTCCCAGTTGCCTGATCTTCAGAATCAGCTTTAGCAAGTGCTGGTTTGTGCTGTTGCAATTGGCATAATATCTGGCATTTGGCTGTTGAGGGATAACAAGTTCACAAAGGGAGTCCAACATTTTTCATAGGGCCTCCATAGTTAAAAAATAAGGATTGCCAAGATGGTGTCCTCTAAATGGTTTGGACTACATCAGCTCCAGTCAACACAGCAGTCAATGGTCATGGATGATGTGAGTTGTGATCCAAAAGATCTCGAGAGCACCATGTTGGCTACTCCAATTATGGAGTGTCTTTCAACCATGTGGCCCCTAATTAACATAACATAGGTGGTTAAAGCACAAGATCTTTCGCCCTCAAATGCCCTCACTGATTGGCTACCAACCTTTGCAGCAAAAATAAAACCTCACAAAAACTGAACATACTGCTGGTATAAAATGCCTCTACCCCATACAAACCTGGGCTTGAAACCTCAGTAACTGTGTGTGTGTGCATTGGATTGGCTATGCAAAGCTGGGGAAAACAAATTTCTTGTGACCGCTGGTGTGACTTCCTCCTATTCTTCAGAGATTTTTACACAGTAATTCACACAGGCACTTTGAAATGCACCGTGTGCTTAAAAGGTGCTAAAATTGTACAGCTTCCGAGTAAAGCACTTTGGGCTGTCTATAAACGCTTTTCAGAAGTATATCATATTCCGGGGGGGGGGGGGGTCTTCCCTTCCCCCATTGCAACCCTGCATGCAAACTCTCTACGTAGGAACCAAACTTTATGTTTCTCTGCTAGATTTGCTCCTTTCTCCTAATTCAATGAAGGATTTTTGTTGTTGGACAAACAGCAAAGGATGGCTGATGGGGCAGGATTTGAACTTGAGGGCTTGGAACAAATTGATGCCAAACGAAGTGTCTGGGCCTTGGCGTCCTGGACTCTTCTTCTCTCTTGCCTCCTTGTCCCAGAAGAACGTTGCAGGCAGAGATAACCCTCCTTTCTCCCGTTGTACAATTTATTAGATAATCTGTTTCTAATCAAGAACTAATTAAAGGAAGGGAATGCTTGGTTGGAAACGGGGATTAAACATGGAAATTATTATAAATGCTACATTTCTTGCTGCACTCAGGCTTATTCATTCCCTGGAGCTTTCCCCCTCACCTCTTGCAGGCTGTTCCTGATAATCGAGTGTGTGTGTGTGTGTGTGTGTGTGTGTGTGTGTGTCTTGCTTCTACAGCCTGCAATTCTTCATTTGGTTTTGTTGGCTAATGTTGCGTTTGTCCAAGGACATTAGCACAAAGTGTTTTCCTTCTTCTTGCAAATCCATTTGGGCGGCTGAAACAGAAGGTGGGGAGGTGTCCAGATGCACACAAACTCAAAATCTACAAAGCAAAGCTTATGAATTATTTCATCTGATGTGGACACGGCGAACTTGCTGCTGTTCTGCCAGCAAGAGGAATTTCCTTGGGATATTTTCTTCTTTCCTTTGTCTTTCCCCTCCTCCCCTTTACTCTCCATGTGCAAAAGACTCTCCTGGTGGAAGATATTGATGTATGTGAGAGCAGCTCCCGTGTGATCACAGTTCTTCCAGCCTCACCATCTTCTGCCTCACCTGCTAGATGTGTTGCCTGTGGAATAGTCAGGTTATGGCTCTAAGATGGTTATGTAAGTTACACCTACCCAGCTGAGGTCCACAGAAATGTTTTAGAGTCCTGGACCAGGCACCATTTGGCAGGAAGGCAAAATATCGCCATGAGCTCCTGAGCAACAAGTTGCTTTTAGCCTAAGGAAACGGCGAAAGTTCCATTTTTGGAAAGAAGAAAATTACCCAGAAAAAACAAAGATTCATTAAAAACAGAAACCCAGCAACCTCATTTACATTTATGACTTCTACATTTAGGTCCTTTAAGCCTGTCAGAGAACTCATTGTAGCCACAATTTCTGTAGGGCAGATTTATAAAAGCTAATAAATACGTGCTTAGCTTGTGGCTTTTGTTTTAATACCAAGAGCTCTGTTCTGCTCACTTGAACGCACAGTACAAGTTCATTTATCCAGAGTAAGGAGCATTCAGTTAAGTGGATGAATATTCAGATATGCCGTCATTGCCGTTGTTGGCAATGACCTGGTTCACACATAATGCTGAACCATAGTTGATGTTAGCCATAGTTAATAAACCATAGTGAAAGCTGAGGTGTGTGGCAGATGATTACTTAAACCTCAGAATATCATGTCACAGAGCAACTGAGCCTTAACAGACATTTGAAATTTTTGTTGCTCTCTTGGATGGTGGCATCCCCTTAACGATAGCTGAGGAAGTCTAGGTTGGCACAAAATGCTAAGCTATGGTTAACATCAACTAAGGCTTATAAAACAACTGCAAACCTTGGTTAAATAGCACTCTTTAACCACAGTTAATACCAGAGTTGTACTGCTTCACTGGGTTCACATACCATGCTAAGGCATGGTATAATAAACTATGGTTTAGCATTATGTGCAAATCAAGCCAGTACAAAAGCTATCACAGAAAGCTTCCAACACCAGATGACCTGGAGCCAAGCTATGCACACCTGCATGTGTGTTCCTTTATCTGGATATTTATTTTTAATGAAGAACAGTTGTGGATGGCTGCAGACTTGACTGGAAAATTGAGGGTGGAAACAGGAGCAGAGAAGCTGAGACGTTTAACCCATTTCTAGCAGGAACGTTTTGTACTCACAATTTTCCCCCACTCCCCAATCACTGACTCAGGGCATTGTGTGCCACACTGTGTGAATCCTACAGTCTTAGGTGCATCTGATGACATTGTAAAACTATACCAAACACTTGGGGAAATGATAAAGAAATAGTCCCAAGAGATCATGGCGCGTGCGCTTAGATAGATGCTGCAAGGAGTACAATGACTCCAGTAAAAATGGGCACGGCAGAATAAATAAATGTAAATTCTTACAAATCCCTCAGACTGTGATTGGTTTAGGAAGTTCTGGAGCATCATGATCATGCAGTCTTGCGCAGCTCCTATTCATTACAAAGGGCTTGCTCCAGAGCATAGATTGCTTACAGGATATATAATAAAACAGGTGTCAAAACAGATTTCCTGCGTGGCCTTTAGCAAGTCATTTAATTTCTTTCGAGGCAATATTCTTCTTCAGGGGATGTATAGTGAGGATGGATTTGTCTCTTGCTCTTTCTAATTTTCTTTTTAAAAAACTTTTTTAAAAACAGGACTAATAAAACTTGTCCACTTGCCTTGCAGGGGTATCGTGTGGATTAATTAGTTTGTGTTTCCTCGATGCTTTGGAAATGTGAAGCAGTGTACGCATTAAGTACGAGGGCCCCCAATACATTACTTTTTAAAAAATAACATAAACAACGCCATATTTCACAAGGATGTATATAACTCCTGCACTCATAATTAAATCTCTCACTCCACTGCTTGGGCTCTGCCTTCACATACCTTCCTCCTTCCAAGGGGGTCTAAAAGCCAACATCCCCTTGAATAATAGGAGAGGCAAGGAAGCCAGGGCAGTGATTTATATAAAAGGTGACATCTTCACAAAGCCCAAACTTCAAAGCGACAGGCTTCAGATCCTGACTTCTCCTTTTGTTCGAACCTCCCCAAGGTCAGCGTCATTATTTTAGAAACTGCAGGGACCTTGCGATCCATCCAAATGGCAGCCCAAGTAGTCAAATAGACTTCTGCATGTCAGGCAAAGTGTTCCATGCCATCACCTGCATCCCACAGAGACTCGGCTCTTAAAGGACACGCGGAGGTGAAAATAGCCAACGAGTCGGTGCCCAGAAGAGCATTAACAAAAACTGTTTAACAAGGGTGTTTGGAGGGGTCAGTTGCTAGGCTGAAATGCAGGGAATTCTGTCCCCTTTGACTTTGCAAAGACCTTGCAGGAGTCACAACCGGGCAGCTGTAGTGACTGCAGGAGTCAAATGTAAGCTTGATACTGGCTGGCAGCCAATCTTGAAATTGTTTTCAGTTTAGTAAAACAAAGCTACGAAACCCACCAAAAAAACTCAATCTATGAGAAGGATGCCCCTCCTTTATATTAAGTCTGTTTTATTCTGCAATCCTCCTCTCCCCAGACCCTGCAATCATCATCTGAGGCCCTTCTTTCCGTGGTTCCCCCATGAGAGGTCCAGAGGGGGGTAACATAAGAAAGGGCCTTTTCTGAGGTGGCTCCCTATTTGTGTAATGCTCTGCCCAGAAAGACTCACCTGGCTCCTTCGTTACATATCCTTAGACACCAGGTATAAAATTTTATCTTCTTCCTGGCCTTTGGCTAATTAAACAATCTATGGCCTTTTAAACTGTGGAAGAGTATTGTTTTCATTTGTTCATCTGCTATGCATTTTTTTGTTTTTATATGGTAAACCACCCTGTGATCTCTGGATGAAGGGCGGTACAGAAATTTAAAATATGATGATGATGATGATGATGATGATTAGGGAGCAAGTCCCATTGAACTCAGTGGGATTTATTTCTGAGCAAGCATATTTAGGATCACGCTTAAATGTTACTTTTCTTTTTTTGTGGGGGGAGGACCATACCTCAGTGGTAGAGAAGCTGCTCTGCGTGCAGAAGGTCGCATGTTTAACCTATACCCATTCTGAATGAGTAGCAGAAAAAGACTGGCTCTCAAACTGGTCCATATACTCTCTATCTCTCTGCATATTGAAGGGTCTGGAAGATGGGGAAAGCAGGGATTTGTTGTTGTTTTTTTAAATGATTTTTATTAAAATTTCAGTAAAAGATTAAACAGAAAAACATAAAAAAAGTACACAAGTACACAGTAATCCAAAGAAGAATAAAAAAACACAGAAAACAAAAAAAGACAAAAATTTAAAAAAAAACAAAAAAAACAGGACAATTAAAAACAATATCACCTTTTCATTTCCATTTTTAAATTTACTTATTTTCTGGACCTCCTCATACCTCCCTCTTTTGTATTCCAGTCCAAATTGTTTGTCCAGCAATTTCTTTTCCACTTTTTTAATCCCAATCTTTAATCTTAATATAATATAGCATTAAAAATTTTACCTCTTAAATACCAAATTTCCATTTCCTTCAACTTCTTTAATCCTAATCCTTAATCTTAGTCTATCTATAAACTTTGAATCCTGTACAGCTGGAAACCACTTATTTTTAATCCAACATCACTCTAACATTCCTTAATTTTGCAGTGTTTCTGTAGATAATCTTTGAATTTCTTCCAGTCTTCCTCCACCGACTCTTCTCCCTGGTCACGGATTCTGCCAGTCATTTCCGCCAGTTCCAAGCAGGGATTTGGCCAGAAGGACCATTTGCTGAGATGCTGGGTGATGACTATCAGGTGAGGTGACCTTCTCTGTATTGTTTTGTATGGTTAATAGCAAGAGATGTGCAAAGTTACTGGCATGGGTGATTGAGCAACCCGAAGTGCAATTTTGGTGCAATCACTAGGCTGTGCAAAAAGGATGGTGGTATATTTAATAGGGCTTGTGACATATCTGTCTTACAGAACAGGTGCTCTATCTGAACTAGCATGCATGGAGGCAATCCCTTAGCTTTGGGTTGCTAGGAAAGACAGGGAGTTGTGATACCAAAGTCTGGAACACCACACAAACCACCCGAATGTAGTTACCAGATTGGATAAAGAATTTATTTGAGAAAATTCTCAGCTACCAACATGAGATGAGCTCAGTGGTAGAGCACAGAAGGTCTTCAGTTCAGTCCTTGGCATCTCCATGCAAGGTGGAAAAGTACACCTGCCTGAAACCCCAGAACTGCTGCTTATTAGTCAGTGCAGATGATACTGAGCTAGACAGAGAAACAGCCTGTCTCACTATGAGGCAGCTTCCTGATATGGATAATGAAATCTCAACATAATCAACTATTCAGAGCAATATAATTTTATTGAGAATTCTCTTTTGGAAAAATGGGGTGAAAAAAAGGAAATAAGATTGCCACAGTTGTCTCGCCCTTGTGATCTGAATTAGATTATGAGAGCTTTCATTTTAAAAGTGTCTTGGGAATGTTGAAATATGGGAAATGCTCAGGTTGGAATTTTATAGAGCTTTTTCTAAAGAGGGTGCCATTGTAATATACCATGAATGTTAAATGCTCGACATGCAGACCCTACACACATACCTACCTTCTTGGGTCCCCAACTAGACGCAGCTAGAGCATAGCCAGTGAAGAAGTGAAACACAGTGAATGCATGGTTAGATGCTAATGGATGCTTTTTTGCCTTGGGGAAAACTGATACTGGTGGCAGGGGGAGAATCATGCGGTCTTGGCACCTCACTGCTCTCTCATGCTCAACTCGTATTTTTTTAAATAAATAGGGAGCGAGCTTCATTGAAGTCAGGGGGGTGTACTGCTGAGGGGAGATTTATAACATTGTACTGTTAGGGACTGAAAGAGGGGTGTTTGGTTAGCCCAGGGCTCTCAAAGGGTGTTGTGTGTGACACAGGTGTGACAGGAAGGGATGACAAGGGAAGATTCAAGGACAGTCAAAGAGTCATTTAAACATTTCAGTGTATATGTGTGTGTGCGCACGCACACACACACACACACAAAATATAAAGCAGAATATGGATAGATATCTTTTCAAAATGAGGGCAAGAACACCAAGTGAAAATGAGGACAATCCCAGTGGCGATCCAGAATAACCGTTTGAACAAAGTGAAAGAGAACACTCGCTTATAATTATATTTTGGGAATGATTCATGTTCTTATGTAGCTGCATTGTTTTATACTTTCTGAATGTCCCATGATCATATTATAAAGTAGTTGTGTTCTGTGCTATAAATCAAGCACTGCTGGGAGCTGTATCTTTTTGTTTTCCAATGCATTTCTTATCATTGGATAAACCCGAGCAAATTTTTATTCTGAAATTGTGGCCCAGAAAGAAAGAAAAAGTTTGAGAACCACTGGATTAGCTGGTGTGTTTGAAGATGACATTCCATGGCTGGAATCACATGAGTGCTCTTCTGGGTTGATCTTCATGGCTGACGAGATATCCCTGCTATACAGCAACAAAAGAAAAGAATTTACCGTATTTTTTGCTCTATAGGACGCACTTTTTCCCCTTCAAAAATGACGAGATGGACGAGATGGTTGGACAGTGTTCTCGAAGCTACAAACATGAGTTTGACCAAACTGCGGGAGGCAGTGGAAGATAGGAGTGCCTGGCGTGCTCTGGTCCATGGGGTCACGAAGAGTCGGACATGACTAAATGTCTAAACAACAACAAAGCTTAGACCTGCCCCACAAAATTAAATACAACACTTAAGTTCAGGGCATTTATGTTTTCAGCTTGGCATCTGTTTTTGTTTTTTAACACAGCAGTTCAGGGGCACCCAAGTCCACAGAGCTACTCAGGACTTTAGGCAGCCCTGGTCCAACTCAAGATGCCCTGTTAACAGGACATGTGGAAACCTCACCTGACTCATCCCCATCTGCTTCCTGATTCAGGAAGTTCAGAGCGCCAATGCACACCCTTCGTGCCCACTCTGTTCTTCCTGATTCTTCTAATCTTTGTATAAATTTGCCATTGACTTTCTTTCTTTTCCTGCTGCTTTGCTCATTTTCTATGTTCCTTTGGAAGCAGATGTCAGAGAAGGCTCCATCCTTTATCTAACTCCCATCGATTTACATGCGACCCCCTCTTGTATCACGGGGAGGATGAAAAGGCACAGCACAGCAGGCTCTTTCTGCACCAAGGGTGCAGCAGGTGTGCAACTCAATTGGGAAGCAGGCACAATTGAGTCGAGTGCACAGAGGATGCGGGAAGAGAGTTCCCATCATGGAAAACAGGGCAAGGTAGAAAGACAAATCAGGGATGAGCGCTGTAAAGAGGCATCTAATCTAGCTCGGCTAAATGCATCCCACTCATGAAAGTCAATGGTATTAAGCAACAGATGCACATGGTTTATATACAGCAGACTCTGTTGCAACATTTTATTCACAGTCTATAATAACTCTGCGGGAGAGGCAAGGTTATATCAGGGCAAAACCTGGGTGGGAATCAGAGCTGGCTTCCAGAAATTTTCCACTCTGTTAGTGTTGAAGGAGGAGAAATTACCCAGTGGCCAGATTTCTGATGGGGACACCTGGCAGGCAGCATATGACACCATAGTTGAAATATCAGCACTGGTGTATTCTCCAATATCCCGCTGATGAAAATCAGGACGCGGGACCTCCAGATCCAATTCATGGAAGGGATCACACTTTTGCCCCACCAGCCCGGGTCAAAAGAAGCAGGGGGGCTGAATTCGTGAGGGGGCAGGCTCCCCACACCCCAGGCCAAAGCACCAGCCAGGACATACCTCAGGGTGTGCACAGGTTCAGCAGTACGAAGGCAAACAGGAGCCAGTGGGCAACAAGAGCCGATCTGCTCCTACCTCCGGTTCAAATCCCCATTCCTGCTGCTGTTGGGCACATGTCCACACACACACACGCCAGCCCAATGCAAAAACACATCTTTGGTTCCCGTGCTCTCGCACAAACCAGCTGACTCGCACAAGAGCATGGGACCAAAAATCAGGACATTCAGCCAGAAGCCGGGATGGCTTCTGTAATACCAGGGTGTCCCAGTCAAATCAGGACAGTTGAGGGGTATGCACAGTAGGCGGGTATGTTGCCTATCTACCAGTGAGCTAGGTTCAATGGTAATGGCAAATGACAGCAGCAGAAATTGTTCCTGCAGCCTGACCACAATGTTGCACCCTCCAGAACACCCTGGGGCATTGTAAGAGGAATGGAAGCCACAGTGTATGCACAAAATGGTGGAAGACATATGGACACTGGGCGGAGGAAGGCGGGTGTGGAGGGTGCGGTGCGCACCAGGTGTCAGCCATGAGGGCGGGTGACATCGCCGTGCCACCGTTCCTGCTTGCTGTGCGGGCAGTCCCCCGGACGCTCACCGCATGGGCAGTGCCCTCGGAAGCTCGCTGCACAGGTGGCAGACCACTAGGGACAATGCTGCCGCGGGCAGCTGGCAACGGCCCTCCCAACGCTCACCGTGCGGATGGCAGGTGGCTAGGGAAGCTCGCTACGGGGGTGGCAAGCGGTGCCCCCACTCGCCACACGGGCAGCGGGCAGCTAGCCCCACCCCCGCGCCGCTCCAGGTGCTGGGGCAGGTAGCTCCGCCCCTGCATATGGAGCAAATTCTGTAGAATTGCCTTTTTATTATGCAGTGAATAAAGGAAAAAATATTGGAAATCTCAGGGATTGTGAGAAATTTTGGCTCAGCTCTATTGGGAATATCTGTGAGTGTTGGGAGGAGATGCTGAAGATGTGGAAAGTGAAAGTCAAGCATGACTGTTCCCCATATCATTGGATGGTGCTCTGGCCACCAGCACCGTTCTAGTTTTGCTTGAGCTTCAACGGAAGTGCACAATTTAAGTGCTGCACCAAGTTAGAAGCTTCCAGCTCTTATAGAGGTTATTTGCAACTGACAGTTCAGTTGGCTAGGCTGATCGCCAGTCACCCTCCCAATGAGAGCTTGCCAAGACTGGAGATGCCATCTTAATGGGAAAAGCATTACGTGAATTAGATAACGCATGAGAAGATGTGAGATCAGCAAAGATCGGAGCCTCTCTCGCTGAGTTATGACAGAGATATTGACTCAGCACTAGAGATGTAAGATTTCTGGAAGTGCTGAAGCCATAGAGAAAATACCACCCCGCCTAATTTCTGCCCTGCTGCCCTCCCTCCCCAAAGAGCCCATTTGGCACATGTCTTGTATTTAAAGGTATAAGGGTACAATAGTGGAAACTAGTCATGGAACAAAAGTTTTTTTAAAATATTTTATTTTTTGCAATTTTCAGTTGTACACACATTAAAATCAAAAACAGCAAAAACAGGAGTATCTGTGTGGTGTTTCCCTCGTTTTACACTTCGGTTTTATCAGTGAGACTCGATATGCCTTTCACTCCTTCACATGCAGGTATGGAAATGTTTGGTCTTTTTACGTAATTCTGTACAGGGCTGTGTATAGAATATGATCCCCTGTTTTAAGCTAGTATGATATAATGCAGTCTTCAGCAATTTGGTACTCTCCAGCTGTTGTGGACTACAAGTCCCATTGGCCATTGCTGATGGTCAAGGATTATAGGAATTGTAGTCCAAAAGTATGGAGGACACCAGGTTTGGAAAGCTGATATATTGGGTAGCTGGCCTCTGACTGGAAAGACCTGGGGCCACATCATACATTCCATTCCAATATACACCTAAGATGTGTTAAGTGAACATCCAAATATGAAAAGTGTGAATAAAACAAATGCGTTTGCAGACCTGAATCTGGTACAATGGTACCTCTAGATATGAACAGGATCCGTTCCGGAGCCCCATTCGCATCTAGAGGTAAACGTATCTAGTGATGGCACGTCTGTGCACGTCTGCGCCGTTTTTCACTGCTTCTGCGCATGCACGCGATGTCATTTTGAGCGTCTGCACATGCGCAAGTGGAGAAACCCGGAAGTAACGCACTCCGTTACTTCCAGGTTGCCGTGGAGCGCAACTCGAACGTGCTCAACTTGAAGTGTATTTAACCCGAGGTATGACTGTATAGGTAGACACGTCTGAGAGTTGCCATTGGCTAATACTCCCTGTTAAGCACACACTGGGTGGTATTTCAAGCAGCACGATCCTAGGCATGTCTGATTAGGAATAAAACCTACTGAGTTTAAAGGGAGCATAGCTTAGATTTCCCTTTGTGTAATCTAGAAAGTGACGCTTAGTCATGAAACTCACGGGTTAGGCTTGGCAATATCAATGTACCTCAGTCTACCCTAAATGGTTGTTGGGGGCATAAGAAGCTATAACCCTCTAACCCCATGCACCCCTCTCTGAGCTCCTTGAAGGAAGGGCAAGGTACAAAGGCCACACACACACATACACACACTTCATCAGGAAAACACAACTTCTGAAAACCTTTAAAGCAAATATGTTTACCAATTTATTCAGAGTCTTAATCCCCCACCCCACCCCCTGTTCCTGAAACCTCAGCGCAGATGAGAACATTTGGAAACAAAAAGAAAATATCACCTAAATTAACATCTAAAGTCACAAATCTCTGTGATGGAGGAGTCATCGGAGCAGAGTCACTGGCATGTTTGCAGAGCCGGCCTCCCTAGGAAAGTGCAGCGTGGCCGGGAATTAAGCCTTTAGTTCATATCTCTCTTCTAAATGAATCAATTGCTCAAACGTTTTGCAACACAAACTCTTCCACTCCAGTACTTAAGGAAAGGAGCAGTTTGCCTTAACAGAAACAAATAGGAATCATTTCAACAGGATGAAAAATTGGGCTTGACAGACACATTTTGCTTTCATGTTCAGCCTCCAGCTAACGTCGTATTAAAGATTATGGGTGGATTTATTTATTTATTTGCCTCCCTGGTGTCATGGATTTGTGACTTTCGGTGTAGGGGGAAGGGATGTATTGTCCTTCAGTGTATACCTGTGTGGTATAGTTCACTTGTTTAAGGCACCTGAGTACAACTTCCTAAACGTATTCCTTCTTTCACTGCACAGATGCCCTTTTGCTCTCTCCTTGCAGCAGTATAAACTTGGGTAATAGGCTGCCTGCAATAAGTGCTTAGAAAAAGGGATTTTGCCTAGTGGTCCTGTGAGATGCTACACAAGCAGTTTAGGGCCCAGGTCTGGAGATCTCCAGGCAAATCTGGTCCCCAGGCAAATGATTCCTGACAAATAGCCACTGCTGATTCAAAGAGAGTGATGTAGTGCAGTGGTGAGGAGCCTCCAACCTCTGGGTTTAATTAGACCTGCCGGGCCTCCTGGTTTGGCCCATGAGGCTGCTTGGAGTTGGCCAAACCCACCTGTCACTCATCTGACATCATCTGACATCAGCTGCAAGACGGGATATCAGACGTTTACAGTGACCAACCAGATGGCTTTGGGAAGCCTGAGAGCCACAATGTTCTTCCCATTTGTGGTTCCCAGTATACTGTCTCTGACCATGGAGGTAGAACATAATTCAATGCTTGCGAAGGGACACCTGAGGCAGTAGACTAGTTTAGGAAACATGCAATTTATATTGCTCTGTCCAACAGCGGTGAATGACTTGGGGTGGGGCCTTATGAGAAGCAGCCATCATCTGCCACCTGAGGTGGGTTCTTCACTCTATCTTATAGTAGGTCTGACCCTTTCATCCACTTCATAACTATTTTCCAGGGAAATGAGAAAGCGCTGAGATTCACCTCTGCCACTGGCAAGACAAACACAGTAAAGTTACTACTTGGTTGTCTTGTTTTCACACATGGACCATTTTCAGTCAACCCCGCTTCCATATCAAGAGACACTTGATACAAGACTCATGGAGTGGGCCTCTCAGAGGCCTATTTAGAGTGAAAGAGGAAGGACTCTCTCAAAGACTTCCTTTGGAATGGAGATATTCAGGTGTGTGGGGGGGCAACCATACCATGACATACAATTTCTTATTCCTTCCCACAAAGAACAGAATTGTGGGGGAGTTGCTTTTGGTATTTTTTTTGTTTTTAAGCCCAACTATAAATTTCTAGAAGCTGGAGGTTTTTTCACTGGACTTTATCTTTCTTTCCCAGTCTCTGCATCAGAGAAAAGAAAAGGCCTTTGAAGGCCCCATGGTCCAACATTTTTCACACTTGATTCCCTCCCTCTGTTCCTCTCTTATTTTTCTGGCAATAAACAACAGCTTGGCTTCAACATCAAAACTTCCAAAGTTCAGTTAGTAACACCATTGCCAAGGTTATTTCACATCTTGTATGAGTTACCCTGGGATGGTGGCTTGGGTTGGGGGATATCTACCTTTAGGCAATAGGAATTCAAATACCATATTATATATAACTGATTGAGCCAGTGTAATGCCAGCTGGTTCTCTCTAATGATACCATATATCAGAAAGGACTTACACTATATTACCTGCCATGTGGTGGATGTAGTCATTTGCTACAGAACTTGTAGAAACAAACATCTGAAAGGCCAGCAGGAATTCTAGCCCAGTGGCTTTCATTCAGAAAGAAACCAGAGGAGAGAGGGAAGGAGGGAGGGAGGGAGAGAGAGAATCGAACGACTTGGCCAGAAACTTTAGTTCCAGCAGCTGCCCACAGTCCCTAGCAGAGTCCCATCACAACTCTCTCTCAACACCACCCGCTCTCCTTCCAGAGGTGTCTGGCTTCTTCTTGGCCATGGTCAAAAAATGTGTGGGGTTGGAAGGTGCCTCTTCATTGGTGGCTGTGGCAGCTGTTGTAACTAATAGCTACAACAGTCATCAAGGCTTTTCACCAGAAGGAGGCTCATTCACAGATTCCTATGTGAACCAGGGCTGTGAGGGCTGCCTATTTCTTAATCTGGGCTGCTTCTGAGCAGCAGGCCAAACCTTCATTTTTAAGGAGGAGTAAATACCTGGCAATAATTTAGACACAGAGCATTTGCTTACCCCTTAGCTTCTTCTGCCTTTCCTTTGCAGTACTAAGTTCCAGATGGTCATTTTTTTTTTAATCAGCCATAGCTCACTAGAAAAATGAATACATTTTCTAAATAAGGTTAAGATGTGACTGTAAGGTGTAAAATTAAGTGCATTTTCACTTTAATGTGCATGTGTAGATGGGGGGGTGAGTCTGTTCAACTCTGTGGTCTGTGGGTTTCATATATACATAAAAAGCAATTCTTATCTGTGAGTTCCTTCAAAAATGATAAAATTATTCAAAACATAAATTAAAAGTAAAATATCATCAGAAATTTGTAAGATATAACAAAAACTAATATTTGTAAAACTGTGACCCTCAAAGCCCAATGCTTTGTCCCTCTGAGGTTTGTGCCCTAGACAGCTGCCAAGTTGGCCTAATGATATAGCACCAGCCCTGTCTTCTGGGCAACTTTTGGGGGTCCATTTGCCAGTGGTGGGTGGGGTGATGAACATAAATGTTATGTATGCTAGTTTCCACACCAGAGCTTTCTAAACTTTTCATGTTGGTGACACTCTTTTTAGACATGCATCATTTCACGACACAGTAATTCGGTTTTACTAGCAAACCAGAGATTAAACTAACCCCTTTCCAGCCCTGGGACACACCTATACACTGCAGCTGGTACACTAACACGTTACGACACACAGTTTGGAAAGCTGTGTTTTACACTAACATACCTCTCTGTACTTCAATGAGGGAAGAAGAAGGTATTACCAGAGGACAGATTCCAGCCAGGCAAAAACACTTAAGGAAGCTATGAAGCAGGGCCAATTTAGGGGTGGCTTGGGGTCAGAGTGGTGGCTTGGGGAAAGTCCCAAGGGCCAGTTGAACAGGCTTGCAGGACTGCATTCATCCCCTGGGTCTAAGGTTCCCCACCCCTGTTGTCAGAGGGTGGGACACCCATTCCGGTGGCTTCATCCCTGTGCCTCTCAAGTTAGAAATTAAGCTCCAGCTGTAACCCACGCAACTGTATTCTGTTTGTGTTGGCAAATAAGCTGAGGCAATTTCCAGGGTGACCTTAGCGGCAAATTGCCCCAGAAGGAAGAAAGGGGAAAGAAAGGAGGATAAAAGAGCATGCAGACAATATATGTATTTATTTCTAGGCTCGGGATTATTTCTTGATTAATTTGCAACCTGCTGCTCATTTGCTCCTATTCATTTCCTACTTAGCATTTAGAGGAGTGTGCCTGACGAAGAGAACTTTCAGCATGAAATTTGTGTGATGTTGGGAGCAGGCAAGTAATTGGCCTGGAAAGAGCAAAACAAAACAGCCTCCAGGAAAGAATATGAACCTAATTTGAAACCTTTTAAAGACAGAAAATGGATGTAGATTCCCATCATCACACAGCTAACAGTTGCACAACATAATAAAGAAGTATTACGAAAGCTGCCGGGTGCTAAAATGCAAACATTATTTTTTTTAATAATAATGTAAAAAAAGAAAAGGAAAAAAAAGCTCCACATATCAAATACAGATGCAGATAAAGACCTAAAGTGGTCTTGCAAATTATAGGCTTTCATATCCCTCTATTTTATAGTGTGATATCATCGATATTAACAGGACAATATATCATTACAAGAGAGGGTTGGCTAGCTGCCTTGAAGGAAGGAGCCTCAAAACTGTTCAGACTGCATTTATCCTGCAGCAAATTGTATTGGAGAGAGGGGAGCTGTTAGGTGTACTGTTCCCATGGCAGAACAGATAACTCCAACCCTAGGTCACCTATATATTGTGCCCAGGTGGGGAAGATGGAGCCTGCAGTTGACTGGTGGTGCCCTTCCCTACTGGTGCATGGGCCTTGGCGGGGAGCCAAGTATTCCAACCACTAATGCCAGCCCTCAGACAGGGGCTAGCGCTATTTCTTAGTGGCCTCCATTGAGTTCCGCAAGGCTAAGAAAACTGGCTGTGGTCTCAGAAACAATTAAGGTATGAAGTGAGGGTATGATGCTCACACAAACCAGTGGGAGAAACCAGGAAGAAAGTTTAACCTCTTCCATAAAAATAATTTCCAGTTCCCTTTTCCCTACTGTTGAATCTTATGCATCCACAATGCAATTGGATACTGAAGGGGTAAACATGGGGTTAGTTTAGCAAACTAGTTTGTCAAATATTCTCTTTCTCAGAAGTGATTTGCCTTTAGTGGGTGGGATGGAGAGAAGCAGATTTCTGGAGCTCAGAAACTGAATGGGATATGGAAATTTATAAATAACTTTTAAATGTGTGGCTAGAACTGGATTGGGGAGATAGTTTATAAAGCTGATGTTTAATATTTTTAAAGTGTTCTATACAGGGCTGGATTTAGATGAAGAGAGGCCCTAGGCTACGCCACTTGTGAGGCCCCTCCCCATCCCTCACCCTCACAACCAGAAGAAAATGGAAGAGTGTTATAAACAAAATTGAGTGAAGTCAAAGATGATGGTGGGTTTTTAAAATTCTGCAATTCACAATTTCTCCTTTAAAGAACATAAGATATTATTGAGTTGCCCTGCCCTCACATGAAGTCTTGGGTTTTCAATTTTGTGAGAGGGGAGACTGCAGCTCTGGGGAGCGGGCAGCCTGGTGAGGCCCCCTAGATTTAGAGGCCCTTGGCACTGGTTCTATGCACCTTATATTGAGGTGTCAGTGTTCCTAGAGCAGCAATGTGCTGCATAATGTTTGGTATTTTGCACATTTTCTTTTTTAAAAAAAGAGTGTTAACATTTTTTAAAAAAATGTTGAAAGGAAGTGTTCTTATATTGATTTCATTCTGCATTTATTGAAATTTACACATGCCCCAGAGTGAGACGTTTTTGTCGAAACCCTTTGGACAATGTATTTTTTTAAGTAATAAATTATCTTTCAGGCATTAGTTTGAGGTTTATCTCCCTCCTTTTTGTTTTTCTTCTATAAATAATCTAAATTGATTGAGCCTAGATATATATGTCATGATCATACCCAGGTCAAAAAAATTTTTGTTTGCCATGGCCTTTCTGAACTGATCACTAATGCCCTTATGGGATTCTGTTTTCTTTCTTTCTTTCTTTCTTTCTTTCTTTCTTTCTTTCTTTCTTTCTTTTTGCTTTATTGTATTGGGGGCTGTTTGTTGTTGGGTTTTTTATGACTTCGTATGGTTTTAAATCTTTGGGTACTTTTAAAAACTGTAAATATTGTAGATGAAGATATTCATTTCTAGTATTTGTACCCTGCTCCTGAACTCAAAGGCTCCCAAAGACATTTACATAGAATAAATTAAAATGAAATCAGGAAGTGAGCTGGGGGAAACAACCCCATAACAATCAGATGCTATTATAAAGTGCAATAATCTCTTTGAGATCTTGAAAATAACCCTGGCCATATGATGAGCTACCTAAGTATGCATCAATAGGCAAGTGGAATCTGTGGATGGCATTGTTTACATTATAAACAAATTGCAAAAAATAACAATATTTGTGTTCTTGTTTATTTGACAATTCATGGGTTTCACCCAGAATTGTGCACATATTGGCGTAAACACAACATGAGCAAAACCATATGTATTCACTGGGACCTGACCACATAACAGAATGTGGGAAGATCTCATCTCAATTTATTTTGATTATGTAAAGCAGAACTGAGGCGGCATAAGGAAGCCATATTTGCTGCAACTGCCCTCCTGAAATGTACCAAGTTGGCTATATTCTGCCAACTCGGTTAGAAATATAAATACAACTCATTAAACTTTTCAATTCACTTGCTGCAACTTTTCAGCAAAACTCTTCTACAATTTCACCAGACCTGTTGAGTGACTTAAACAGGGGTTTTCTCCCATCACATTTTCCAAAGGCACCATGGTACACCTGAATCAGCACAACCGGACACCTGCATCGCTCCCCAGCGACAGCAAAATATGCCTCTCTTCCATATTGGTCTCTACAGTCACAGCAGGCACTGTAATTTCCCAGTGGTTTTACTTCACCCCCAAAGGCACACTCTTCCATTGTCTCATGAGACAGGCAGATACTAACTATTTTGGAAAGTTGCTTGTTTGCTCTACATTTGGATACCTTTTAAAGTATCCTAACCAAATTCTACATGATCAAGGAGCAGGTTTCATCTGTGGTTGGATACAATTGGGTGCCATTTTCAATCAAGATGGCGGACAACTTTTCATAGCTGCACTGATTTTAACCACTGATGGCGCTGATTTGGGAGCTTCTTAGAATTCCTAACAGCAGGTCCTGCAAATGATTTATAATTTCAGTTTTCTTTGCAGTTGACGTTTTGCGGAAACATACAGTTATGGCCATAACTTGCCACTTAAATTTCATTCCCTCACTGCAGTAGCTGGAATGGTCATGAACATAGAAATACAGAGAGAGGATATTCTTCTGCCATAATGACCAATGCAAAGCTGCCCCTTTGTTGTGGTCCCATCAGTTGCCGCCCTTCTCAGAGCTAACCAGAAACAGCTTCACCACATCAGGTTGGTTTGGCCAAGCCTAAAAGGTGCTCCTTTTTGAAAAATTGATTAACAATGACACATTTAAAATGATAGTGCAAATTAATTTCTGAATTACACCATTAGTATGTAATTAATTTCTCTGCTCTGTGAAATAAAGATATCACTGACGAGCACCCACTGTCTAAATCTATAAAAGAGAAAGGATGCTGAATGAAGACTCCATTAATGTATAAATTGATTTTTCCATTTAGCTTCTTCTGAGGGATTTCTCCACCCCCCAGTGCATTTATTTTTTCCCCCTCCAAGGGGATGGGGGAGTTGGAGAAGCAGCCTAATTTATACTTCCACTGGTAATCAAAAGATCATGAATGTTCATTTCAACCAAATAATGTCATTATCAAGGCTGTTCAAGCCGGTGTTGCCGTGGAAACGTAAAATACTGATGCTTCAGGTTGGACATTCGAGCTCTCTTGTGCAAGCACAATAATGAGGGGTGAATGTTATAGTGCCAGTTCTGGGGTGAGTGGGAGGGCCGCCACAGCCACCCTCAGTCACGTGGGTGCCTCATTCATGCACCTTGCTACTTCAAACTACTTGAAACGTGACCCTTCCTCTACCTAAGATGACCTGTTTCCTCTTTAGAACATAAAAGGAGGGATGACCTTGAAGGCTTGAGAAAAGGAACACAGGTAGAGCATCATTAATGCAGCTTGGAAATTAACCAAACTATGCAGCCGAAAAGTAGTAAGAACCCAAAGGTTGGTTTATTTTTGTAAGCCACTTAATGAGAAACAGTATCGAAGCGATGTACATAAAACAGTAAAAGAAGGATCAATAAGATACAGAATCAACAACATTTAAAAACATAATGATGTGCCTAGATACACTTGCTGAAAGTTTGTATTGGACATCTGAAGCAATATAGAACAACGGTCCCTGCCTAATGGTAATAAGAAGGGAGATCTAAAGAATGGGGGCTGCCATACTGTGGAGAAAAATGCTGTTCGGCACGTGTGAAAGGGCAAGCTCTGTAAATCGAAGAAGGCACATTAGGGCAAAGCAACCCCTCAGGCAAACTGGTCCCTACCCATTAAGGGATTTACATACTAATAGCTAAACCTTGAACTTGACTTGGCAGCCAGCACAGATCTCACTCCCATCAGCAATTGTGCTGCAGCACTCTGCACTAGCTCCAGGCTATCCACAAGGGAAGTCTCATATGTAGTGCATTACAGTACTCTATTATTACCAATGCCTGGACTACTGTGGGCAAGGTCTCCCAGTCCATGAACAGCTGGAGCTGTTGCACCAGTCAAAGTTGGTGGAACGCATTCCTAGCCACAGAGGTCATCACCTAGGCCCCTGATGACAAAGATGACAAATGGATCCTTTAGAAGAAATGCAAGCCCCATACAGAGTTGGCATCTTGCCAATTTCTTGGACACAGGAGGCACTCACCTACAGTCCCTCTGTCCTGCCAGGATTCAATGTCAGTTCATTTTCCTTCTTCCAGCCCATCACAACATCGAGGCTCAGGGCCTGCACAGCCTGTCCTCACCCAAGTATTATCAGCTTAGTGTCATCAGCATACTGATGGCACCGTGCCCCAGATCTCTTAATGACAACTCCCAATGGCTTCATATAGATACTATCATATTTTTTCATGCATAACACACACACACCATGCATAAGACGACCAATCTAGTGAGACAGTCTCTTCCTCATTCCATTCTCAATCAAAGTAATGTACCAGGGTGTCCAAGACTGATTTGGCCCCCATAAATAGGCCTGAACCCAGACTGGAATGGGTCTGGGTAATCAGCATCATCTAAGAATGCCTGAAGTTGCCCGGCCATGACCTTCTCCACCACCTTTCCTTAAGAAGGGGAAATTAATTTTTGACTTGTTGGCTGTTAGTCCAGAGACTCCAGATCAATGGGGCTGGGGCTAGCTACTTTAGGAGCAGGCGCCCCATGGCTTCTTTCGTATCATTACCAGAAATTTGCTCCAAGGAAGCAAAGTCTTGTGGCACATCACTCAACCATCCCAATTAGAGTGGGACATCCTGGAATTACAGAAGTCATCCTGGCTTCTGATTGGATCCCAGAATGTCTGAATTTTCGGTCTCACACTCTCACATCCTGATTTTGATCAGCGTGATGTTGGAGGGTATGCATCACTTATCACAGGTGATTCTCTCCTAATGGGAGAAGGAGGTCATGTAGCTGAGGTCAACAGCCGACCGGCTGTGCTCTACTGCTTACCTTTATTACTGAACCCACTTGTGAACAAAATCTTCCCTGTGGGCTTAAGCTCCAGGTCCTGAAACTGGTGCTACACGGCCAGCATCCATATTTATCGTTGTGCTGTGTCATTTATGCAGATGATCCTTTGACTGATATGCAGCATTATTTTAACGGCAGCGAGCTATTTTAAAATATACATGCCGCTCTAGAAATATGCCCGCTCTCATCGCCACCAGGAGAAGATGAATGGGAACGCTTTAAAGAGAAACCAGGTACTCCATCTTGTCGGAAACGTTGCTTCACACTTGCAAAAGTGCCGATCAGAAGCGCCGGATCTTTTGCAGCTGATGTTCTAGCAACTGAAGCGAACCCCTTGTCCCTGCTCGCATCAGGCATCCTGCCCTGCAGATCTTATGGAGGGAAAACAGTTAGAAACCAGGTCCAAAAAGGAAGAGGAATTAAAAGAATAATTTAAAGCAGAGGCGGGAAAACCTTTTTCATCCTGAAGGCCACATTCTTTTCTGAGCAACTTTCAAGCGGCCACATGCCAGGGGTTGGTGGGGCCAGAGCCAACAGTGAGAGAAGCAATGAATGCAAATTTTGCCTTTGTACAGTAGACTAGGGACTCAGCTATACAGCTGCAAATAGAACGTTTTAAATGTGTTGTGAAGTGCAATATACAAATGTGACACTAGATGGCGACAGTGAGCTATGCCAAATTCAATGTATTTTTTGAAACGTTCTGGGGAAAAACATTTTCAAAGTGTTTTTATATGTGTGTGGATTCCACCTAGTTTCTTCACACACTCACACAACTCTCTCTATCTTCCTTCCAGGCAAGCAAGAGTCATTATCAGAGTCCAAGGGCACTTTTTCAGGCAGGGAAAACATTTAAGTATGACGCAAAACCAGGTCAATGAGTGATGTGGCTTGGGGAGAGGAAGTGTGGCTGTGCATGGGGTGAAGTCCTGAAGTTCTCTCCCCCCTCCCCCGCTCTTCTGCATTCTTATAACTCTTGCTTAGTACAATGAGCTTTATACACATTGCCTTGATAGTTTTTGTAGCACTCTGCCAGAGCTATAGGCAATGCATCTCCACAATCCAGATTTGATTCTCTGGCTCGATGGAGAGCCCCCTTCACCACCGAGCCCCCAAAGTGCTGTCACATCAGACTCTGGTCAGCTGTTTCAAGATCAAACTGTGTAAGATTCATTGCATTTACTTATTTAATTATTTCATTTCATCTCTTTTGCTCATTGGGGAAATGTGCTTGCCTTTTAAAATCTTAATATGATGTCCTGTCGGCATCCGTCTGTCTCGGTGCATCTTTGAGGGGTGAAGTCAAACTGTTGGAAGGTTGCAGGGCCTGCTGTGGCGGTAGAGATCGATAAGGGAGAGACATGCTTAGTTGCAGCTGAGGCAGATGAAGGCATCAGTAGAGCAAGCCGGTCAGGTGCCTGGGGCGGTGCACGTGCCCTGCGCCCAGGGGCAGGGGCAGCCACCCGCGGGGGCGGGGCAGCCACCCGTGGGGCGGGGCCAGCCAGGGCAGGATGCTCCACAGGGCCTCCGAGGAGTCTGCCTGCCTCCTTCCACTCAGCCGCCCTACAGCTGGGGGGGGAAGTGCCGGCAGACCATTTGGGGCAGCACGGAGCCTGCAGGTGCCCAAGCCACCATGTCACGCCCAGGGCGCACTGCAGGCCCCGCCATGAAGAGAAGAAGAAGAAGAGTTTGGATTTGATATCCCGCTTTATCACTACCCGAAGGAGTCTCAAAGCGGCTCACATTCTCCTTTCTCTTCCTCCCCCACAACAAACACTCTGTGAGGTGAGTGGGGCTGAGAGACTTCAGAGAAGTGTGACTGGCCCAAGGTCACCCAGCAGCTGCATGTGGAAGAGCGGAGATGCGAACCCGGTTCCCCAGATTACGAGACTACCGCTCTTAACCACTACACCACACTGGCACCACACTACATCACCACCGTGAGTGCTGCCCGGCATTTTGTCACCTCCCCCCCAGTGGCGACACCCGGGGCGGCCTGCCCCCACTGCACCCCCCTTCCTCTGCCCCTGGATGAAGGTTTCCAGTTGTGCTGCTGCAGATGCACCATAGCGTTTCTTCTCTCTACACTTCTCCTGGCGGTCATTCCTCCTCTGGTCACTGCTACGGATGCACAACCTGTCTGTCTCCAGGCACTGCAGTCGTCTGCAAGGGATTCCCACATGTGTCAATGTTGCCAGCCTTCATGTCACATTTGCAGATCTCTTTATAACACAGAGTTGGTCTGCCAACGGGCCTGGTGCCTGAAGCCATCTCCCCATAGACGACTTCCATGATGTATAGAGGGGCTTATCCTAAGAGGGTGGATAAGGTCCCCTCATTAGTACACATGCTGGAACTGGCAATCAGGACCATTAACAAGTTTTTGTATTTATAGTCATGTAGGCCATACACGGCATTCAGATACATCGTTTGTCTTGGGCGCCTCTTTGGCAAAGCCCTTTTGCCTGGCACACTCAGCTCTGCAGAAGTTGTTCCTCTCCTAGTGTTCTGAGCACGAACACAAACAGCCATTCAGAACAATAGTTCAAAATTATTCAAAAGCAATCATGCACTCCGCTGAAACATTTTGCCCTGGCATCTCCGCCAGCTGCTCATTCCAGAAAGAAAAAAAGGGCCTGCGTTGATTTATTATTTTATATTATTTATATCTGGCTTCTACAGCCCAAAGGGCTCCCAGAGTGACTTGCAAATGAGTTAAAACATGGCAATCTATTTCAAAGCGCAAAAAAACCAACAACTCCACAGCAGAGAGCAGAGAGGATACAGAGACCTTGAAGAGATCTAAAATGCCTGGTCAAATAAAAAAAGTATTTATCTGGCTCTGCAAAGGCATCAGATTCAGTGCTGGATGAGCATCCGCAGCATGAGTGTTTCAGAGTCAAGGCACCACAACAGAAAAGGCCCTGTCACTGGTCACCACCTGCCTCACCCCATAGGTGATGATGACTAAACACAATAAACAGCCATTCTAAAAGAGAGGCCTGTTGGCCAGCTTTGGTTTGTCTTGAGAGCCAGTGTGGTGTAGTGGTTAAGAGTGGTGGACTCGTAATCTGGTGAACCGGGTTTGATTCCCCGCTCCTCCACATGCAGCTGCTTGGTGACCTTGGGCCAGTCACACTTCTTTGAAGTCTCTCAGCCCCACTCACCTCACAGAGTGTTTCTTGTGGGGGAGGAAGGGAAAGGAGAATGTGAGCCGCTTTGAGACTCCTTCGGGTAGTGATAAAGCGGGATATCAAATCCAAACTCTTCTTCTTCTTCTTCCTCTTCTTGATGGGCTCCATGATGTGCAGACATGCTGTGGGTGATCGTTGCCCCTTTATCTGCGCATTAGGAAAAGCTGCTCCTGCTTAATTCCCGTTGTCATACTCTTGTTAAACACATAGGACCAAAGCCTATGTTAAAGGACCAAAGGGTTAAAGTAGCAATCCTGTCCTTCCACTCTGTAGCTTTTATGGCTGGAAGGAACCATGCATGAGAACGCAGTCTGCTCGGAGGAGGGGAAGCCTGGGCTTCATTCAGCACTCGAAATGTCTTGAGTCCAGTATGCCGTGGAGAGAACTCCCCCTTCCCTCAGTCCCATTGCAATCCATATGACTGATTGAAAGTGCCGCCTTTGCTAGTTGCTAAATCTGCCATGAACCCACACTGATTAATGGCAGCAATTCGAGTCAAGTGCCTGTTTTTTTACTGAGGCGAAGAACCATTTGAGCCTGTTTGGCTCACTAGCCTCGTGGAATGTAGAAGATTTCCTGGAAATCGGGCCCTGGGACTGCGGCCTTCAGGCACCTTTTAGAAGTGGCTGTTTGAGGTGGCAAGGGGGGGGGGGAGAGGGAGAGAGAGATATTTCTAGAATGGCAGTGTGTCAAATGTGGGTCCAGGCTTTGAATGGCTTAGAAGAGCCTGCTGTTAATAATGGGAGAGAGGCATCATAGAAAGGGCTATAGGCCCATGACGCTGAGGCCTTGAGGTTCAAAAATGGGATCTATGCTAGTGGGAAAGCTTGAAGGACACGAGGAGATGAAACAAAGGGGCAAACTGCAGAAGTACGCCTGGCACCTTCACAATGCATTTTCTGTCATAGGCTGAGGGCCCACCCCTTTGCCCTAGACTTTGAAACTTGAGGTGTACATTTTTAAGACCCTTATCCTATTATTATTGTAATCAGTTTTAAATTATTTTAAATGTTGTGTTCTAAATGGCATTGACCTTAATGTGAAGGGCAGGTTGGTAATGGTAAGAAGAAGAAGAAGAAGAAGAAGAAGAAGAAGAAGAAGAAGAAGAAGAAGCAACAATAGCTATTGTGGAGGCCTTCTACTGGTGGCCATGCCTACAAGTAACAAATAGGTGCCAACTCCCTTTCTTCCTTTGGAGGACTTGGGTAGCTAAGGCAGTGCTAGAGGGAAGGATGTTCCCATGAAGGGAGAGAGAGACCACCATGCACAAAGTATTTACAATGAGCATTCAAAACCTTTGACAAACATAATCTCAGGAGAGATGGGGGCATGCTTAAGGGCTAAAGAGTAGAGACGCTGTAGTGGAATTCGAAATGTGTTCTGCTGGTCTCGTAGTCTTCACCACTGCCCTCCATCATGTGTTAGGAGGGACCATGAAGTTGTGCCACTCCTCCACTCCTCACTCCTCAACATCATGCACAGCATCTCCGATAGTTGTTCTTGGTACTTGTGCAGCATCATTTTACAAAACCACCTGGATTGAAATGGTCTGCCTGGCTGGCAGGGGCTGATGCTGGACCACCACCCAGGAACAGCATATTGCAAAGTGGGTGTTGGAGAAATAGGCGATTCCTCCGAATCCATAATTTCTCCTTAATAGTAGTCATCCAGATCCCACACAAATGAACAATAACTGCTTGTTTTGTGCATGTGATAAACCTATCATCAAGAAAGGCATTAAAAGTAACAAGGGATGCAAATATTCAGTCTACATGGTAACCATTTTATGTCCAGAAGCAAGAGGATGGATAGCCCTTAATTTCAGCTAAATCAAGGCAGCTGTGCATGCTATTGGTATCCATCTACAGTATCTTGAAACATTTTTTTAAAAGGTTTGCTTAGCCTTTTTCAGCACCACAGAGGAAATTACACACTGTGATTCCCTTGTCTATTATTTCGATTCATTTTCATGGCTTATTTGGAGTCATTTCTGGGACGGATTGGGAGATGCTTCATGTGTTGTGGCAGACACACACACACACTTTTATGGGGTGTGTAAAATGTATATATACATAATTGCATATATAATTATTTTCACAGATACTTAAAAACAAATCAAGCTATTACAGCACACACATTAAAAATAATTGCTACTTACTATATGGCCGTGTTTCTAAGCTTTCCTGCTTTTTAAGCCGGGCCAGCTGCTCTATCTTTTGATTGTTTAACACACATACTTCCTTCTTCATTTTTTTAAAAAAGGAGTGCCCCAAAAGCTCTCACACAGCAAACGTAACTTTTAGCTCTTCGTTCACACTTGCATGCTCAGTATGTGGTGATTGCCTTGCCTAGTACTGAATGAGGTACACTGTTACAAATGTCAGTTCAGACATTCAGCTGCCAATCATCAAGTTTAGAGGGATCCAGTGCAGTGCACATGAATGTGTGAATGAAGATTTCCATTCAGGCTGTTGCCCCTCTGTTAAGTGATTGTAATTGTTTAATTGTACGTTGAAATGGAAAAATAACTCAGTACGTGTACTGCTAAAGGCATGGTATGGAAACTTCCACTGAAGCTAAACAAAGGAGTTGCAGAGAGCCTAATAGTTAATGATTAAGCGAGAATGTATCTTTGCTGGCTCTGTCAGGAGGTGTTTAACTTAGATCATATGAGGCATTCCATTATAGGTCTCCATTTGTGGTGTGTTAGTAGCTCCTTGTTCTGAAGCACCAAAGAGAAAGGATGTGCAAATGAGTCTGTCTCCAGGAACACAGTCTCGGGCTGGAACGCAGGTTGTTTGGAGAGTCAGAGATTTGTCTTTCTAGGATATTTTGCCTGTGCTGGAATCAGCACATGATATTATGGAACTTTCTGGATGCAACTTTATTTGTTTTGGTACAAGTTCTGTTAGTCAACCTTTTGAACCATATTTTTGGACTGGACAATTTTTATTTCAGGGATAGTCTGTTTGTATTCATCCTATTGCTTCCAAATGTGCAATATTAATAACCTTAATATCACCCAGCAGCAGAAACCTGAGTTGCACATCTCAGAGACATCCAATGAACCCTGCAGGTGAGTTGTGCATTGAATGCCTGCAACCTGGTGTGTCACGATGAATGGCAGAAGTGGGAGCAAACAGGCAGAAAATATTTCACTCAATTTCATCGCCAACTTTGGAGGGAAAACATGATGCGCTTTCTCACATAATATGGTGCCTGTGCCACAAGAGGAATGGGGCTTGCATTGGTCTGTCACGCGTCATTCCTGGGAGGCTCCACACTGTTGCCTCTCATTGTAAAAGAGAAGTTGCATCATCAGAACATTCCTCCCATGACACGATGCCGATTCATGTCCAGGGAAAAGCACAGTCTATGGAAAGCGCTTCTGAATTTCAAAGCTATTGCTGTTTTCACTGCACACGGCACACTCATTCAAAACAAAATCCATTCTGAAAAAGGCAGGACTTCTGCTAAGATTTATCCTCCCCCCATTTGTGAAGAGTTCAGAATTAGCAAATGATCCTGAATTACCTGAGTCACAAAATAAAGTTCGTGCAGCAAAACTTTTCCTTTCAGAGGAAACTTTTCTGCCCTCGCTCCCTCTAGTTGTGCCTCTTTCAAGCCTGCCCCTACGTCTCATTACCAGCTTTGGTGGCAGCTTGGAAAATGATGAAGAGATGAAGGTGGAATCTAAAGTGACAGGAGACGGATGAGTCTAGGCTTCGCTGGAAGTTAGGTTAAGCGAGGTGCTCGTTCTTTCCGCCACGAAGCCTGTCTCTACAGAATTGCCTTGGAATCCCTGCAGGGAATCTAATGGCGCTCTTTACTCCGCTCACTGAGCAGGAACCGGCAGCACCCAACAAAACCCTTCTTTACTGCCGCCAATAGCAAAGCATCCAGGCTACGGCGAGCCCACTGGGATAATCCCCATTGTGAAAAATCTTCCCTGGGATAATACAGTAGCATCTCCCAGGGAGCCCACTTTGCAGCCGCAATCACAATTTGCATAGTGCCATCCATTATGTCCTGCAGCGCGACTCAGCTTTACAAAGCCTGCGTTTTGCTGATGGGTTACTCTAAGATGGCAATATCATTCATAGTCAAGGCTCCTGCGTCTTCTAACCATAGGCTGGCAAATTCGAGCCTGCAAGTGCAGTGGCTTCCCCCGCCTTTTTGTCTTAACAAAGGCTGGGCTTCTCTCCTGCTTATAGGTTTCTTCAAACACAGTGCGTACACATTTTCTTTTTCTTTTTTTAAATTAATATTTTTTGCTTTTCCAACGATTTAAACACTACAAAAACAATACAATACAATACAATACAAAAACATTACGTAACATTGACACATTAAACACATTAAACTAACAAAACAAAACAAAAACAGTTTAAAATAAATCAAACAATTTCAATATCTTATCTTTCATTCACTTATTTCCACGACCTCCTCACACCTCCCTTCTTGTATTCCACTTCTGTTAATTGTTTCAGCAATTCCTTTCCATCTTCCTCTGTTTTCTATCCTATAATTATCTTAACACATTCTAACCTTATTTTTCCTTTAATACTCTATTAATCTATTTATACTTATTTCCTTATAACATTTCTACTAAAGCCATATAATTTCATTCCAACATTTTTCTAACATTCATTAACTTTACAATATTTCTGTAGATAGTCTTTAAACTTTTTCCAGTCTTCTTCCACCAATTCTTCTCCCTGGTCTCGGATTCTGCCAGTCATTTCCGCCATTTCCATATAGTCCATCAACTTCATCTGCCATTCTTCCCGGGTGGGTAAATCTTGTGTCTTCCAATACTTCGCGATGAGTATTCTTGCTGCTGTTGTTGCATACATAAAAAAAGTTCTATCCTTCTTTGGCACCAATTGGCCGACCATGCCCAGGAGGAAGGCCTCTGGTTTCTTCAGGAAGGTATATTTAAATACCTTTTTCATTTCATTATAAATCATCTCCCAGTATGTCTTAATCCTTGGGCATGTTCACCAAAGGTGAAAGAATGTACCTTCAGTCTCATTACATTTCCAACATTTATTGTCGGGCAAATGGTAAATTTTTGCAAGCTTGACTGGTGTCATGTACCACCTATAACCCGAGGTACCACTGTATATGTATTCCATGGTCGGCAACAGCAACAAAACTTAAGCCATATATGTGTTTCTTCTTTCCTGTTAGCAAAACCAGAGGCTCGTCTATGCCTCCCTTTTGCACCGCACTTTCCAAACGCAAGTCTGAGCTTTAAAGCTCTGTGTCCGAGCAGTGTGGTTTTTTGTTTGTTTTTTCTCCCAGTGCCCGGGGGGGGGGAAATTTACCACTGAATTGGGGCAAATGGTACTCCACTGAAAACCCAATTGATGTTTGCTCTGATTCAGCAGTAGACCACTTTTTCTTTTCTTTTCTGGGAAAAAGCGCCAGGACAAAGAAAATTAAAATACTCAGACATAGAACTTTAAAGCCCAGACTCATGCCTAGAAAGGTGGCACAAAAGAAGTCAGGATGAGCCCCAAGTTTCAGACTAGAGTCATAGGAATTCAGGAAGCTGCCTACACTGAGTGAGACCATTGAGCCATCTAGTGTTTTTTCCAGTCTTATCTGGAGGCACCAGAGACTGAAGGTGGGTCCTTCTGCATGAAAAACAGGTGTTCTGCCATTGAGCTAACTGACGACAAACTCTTTTAAGCAGACACATCAGTAACCGATGCACATGCCTTTTAATAAATCTAGCCATGTTTTTTTTTATTTGTGTACAAGTGTGGCAGTGTGGTGTAGTGGTTAGATCAGGCTTCCACAACCTCGGCCCACCAGATGTTTTGAAACTACAATTCCCATCATCCCTGACCACCAGTCCTGCTAGCTGGGGATCATGGGAGTTGTAGGCCAAAAACATGTGGAGGTCCAAGCCTGAGGAAGCCTGGGTTAGAGTTCAAAGGCTCACTCAGCCATGAAGCTCATTGAGTGACCCTGGGCCAGTCATGACCTCTCAACCTAACCTACCTCACAGGGTTGTTGTGAACATGAAAAGAGGAGAGGGAGAAGTGTGGGTGCCACCTTGAGCTGCTTAAAGGGAAAGTGGCATATAAACGCATGAAATGTGTGAGAAATAAGAACTGCAAAGAGCATAGACGGAATAATATCTCTTCCCGATATTCTCAGCTAAGGCAAATATTGGTAATGTAGACAATAGGATCTTGTGTGCTTAATTGAAGCTCCAGCTTCTGCATCCCGCGAGCCTTTCCCAAACAAGCTTGTGCTAGCTTTTAGGTCAGGGTCAGGCCACTCCATTCAAGAGACCACACGCCTTTAATATATATGAAAGGGGGATATAAATCCAGATCCACGCTCCACAAGGTTACAGGGTAATTATAACTTTTAGACCCATTAAATGTAATTAGCGAGTACTGGAGTCTGCAGCAGGAACATATAATTGCAGAGTATGAAATAAAGATGGGCAACCTCAAGTGTCCTGAGTTAAAGTGATACGGGAGCTAATTCCATTTTTAAAATAAAAGAAATAAATTTTGATTTGGGGTGAACCCAGTGCCAGATTTAGGAATAAGCTAAACAAGCTATAGCTTAGGGCCCCACTCTCTTGGGGGGCCCCCCAAAAAAATTAAAGGGGGGAAAACTGGATGTGTATTTCCAAAAATATAACAATTACTTTTATAAAATACATATTTTGTTATGTGCAAATGGGTTTAGATACCTATTAGGTCAATAAATTACCATATAGCATGTATTCAACACAAAGAACAGCAACAATTTGTTGTTGACAAAGGACAGCTGGACATATAAAGGGCCCCATTACCTTCAGTAGCTTAGGGCCTCATCAAACCTAAATCCAGCCCTGGGTGAGGCTCTTACTTTAAAAAACAAAACAAAAACCACAATAGTTGGAAGTGTCTTCCTGACAAAACTGTGGTTAAAACTGCTCGCCTCCCTTTGAAGACTGAAGACCGTGGTTGATTGATGAGGGGAATTGCTCATGATGTGGTCACAGGAAGCACTGTATTTTTCGCCCTGGCTACTTCCTAGTTCAATAAGCAATCTACATGCTCAGGCAAGATTGTGTGGGGAACCCAAAACATAACTAGGAAAAATCATCCCGTTCTCTGGCCCCTGTTGAAATTGGTCAGATCAAGACATTTCTAATAATATTGCCTGTGCATCAGCTTAGAACGATTCTGCACATGTTGCAGACAGGAATCCTCAGTGACTGTCCTGTTACAACTGGGTGCTAGGATTGATGGATCCGTATCTGAAGGGAACCCAGGATAAGCAAAACCTGCCCTGTGTTGGCGGGTGCGTGTAGAATGCTAATATCTGAGCAGCAACTTAAAGGGAGATTGTCACCCTTAAGGATATCAAAGAAGGAAAAGCTCCACCAATGGGGAAAACCATCCTGGGGGAAAGGGAATGTTCCTTTCTCTTCAACTCAAAATCTCAACCTGGAATCCTGAACTGGTGCCCAAGCATGAACATTTTTTGGAAGAAGAAGAAGAAGAAGAAGAAGAAGAAGAAGAAGAAGAAGAGCTTTTCTTCTATTAAAAGAAAAAAGTGCCAGTACTGTGTACCCTTGAGTACCCCCAGAAAAATCACTGGTATTATCATTATCATTTTATTTGTACCCTTCCCATCTGACTGGGTTGCCTCACCCTCTTTGGGCAGTTTCCAACATATATAAAAACACAATAAAACATTACACATTAAAACCAGTAAAAGGCCTTCTATATTAGAGCAGATATTTTGGTGACCAGGATTAACGTGGTGGTGAATGCTTTAATATTAATAGAAAATGTCAAGTACAGTGGTGCCCCGCAAGACGAATGCCTCGCAAGACGAAAAAGTCGCTAGACGAAAGGGTTTTGCGGTTTTTGAGCTGCTTCGCAAGACGAATTTCCCTATGGGCTTGCTTCGCAAGACGAAAACGTCTTGCAAGTTTCTTTCCTTTTTCGTAAAACCGTTAAAACCCAAGGTGCATTGCTTGAAGAGGTGCAGTTGCGACTTGACTTCGAGGAGCAACTCATAGCACGCAGTGTGGTAGCCTTTTTTGAGGTTTGTGAAGACTTTGGCGATTTTTGAAGCTTTTCCAAAACTTCTTTTGCAGCCATTTGGTAAGTTAAACTTTTAAAACTTTTTTGGGGGTTTTTGGATTTTGGGTTGGGGTGTTTGGAATTCAAGGACTTGGTGTTGGGGAGGGGTTTGCAAGAATCTGGAAGCTTGTGTGGTTTTTTTCTGAATTTTTATGATTTTTTGTGACCATTGGGCCACTCTGCTGTTTTTTTAAAAAAAATTCTGGATTTGAATTTCTGTGTGGTGGGTGGCTGGGGGAACAGTTGAGGAGGGGTTTGCAAGAATCTGGAAGCTTGTGTGGTTTTTTTCTGAATTTTTATGATTTTTATTGTTCCTTCAATTTTTGAATTTATTGTTCCTTCAATTTTTGAAATGCTCTTTACAGTATGTGTGACTTTAAAGACCACTTAATAAACTCTTGTTGTACCAAATTTGGCTTTGTTTGGACTTTTTTTGACCATAGGAACGCATTAATTGAATTTCAATGCATTCCTATGGGATTTTGTGCTTCGCAAGACGAAAAATTCGCTAGACGGAAAAACTCGCGGAATGAATTAATTTCGTCTTGCGAGGCACCACTGTAGATAAAACCTGTGGAGGGAATTCAATGTCAAACTATTATGATGGTTCTCTCAGCAGAAACATTTCTGCTTGGCAGACAGAATGATCTCCCCTCTCTTCCCCCGCCCAGGCTGCTCTGAGGGGTTGATCCATCTAGCTCAGTAATGTCCGCACTGTCTGGTAGCGACTCTGTGCTGTTTCAGGAAAGGATTTGCCCGCCCTGAAGCCACACAGTTCCACTTACTGAACTTCTGCTTCCGTGGGTGTTATGTACTGAAGTTCTCACCCTGGGCCAGCAGGGGGATACTGTAAATAGTTATGCAAATAAGGGATCAAAAGTGACGTTCAGTGATTGGATAGTTTTAGAAAGTTGTTACAGTTACATTGTACTGGAGCTCTATATAAGCAGGCTGACTGAACCCTTCAGTTCAGTTCTGTCCTGGCCTGTGAATAAAAAAAAAAGATGTTTGAAGAATCGCTGTGTCGTCTGATATGTTCACCCACAACTTAACAGAGGAGCTCTTGAAGGGACAGAAACCTTGTCCTTTTCGGAATATAGTTATAATTACGTGAAGCCCAGCTGATCTTTAAACCCTTTAAAGAAATAAAGAGTAAGACTTCTTCACAAAAGCATTTCATTGCATCTTTAAGTCAGCTGGATCTTTCCTTTCCCAGCTTTCTACTTATAAATGTGGTAAACATGGTGCCAATATTTTTTCTTTTCTTTTTAAAAGACAAATCTAAAAGGAAGGATACGCCAAAGAACTTTTCACAGTCCTCTTCTTCCTGCAAGGATGCTACAGCGTCAATGCCAAAAGATGATAAAATGGGTCAGAAACAAAAGTGCTCATTAAAGCGAGGTGTGACTGGAGTCAAGTGTGAGGTGAGTTTACAGTATGTGCGCACTTCTTACGTTGACAGAGCGTCTTGCTTCTGACATGCTGGCCTCCTTATTAGACGCAAGGCCCTTGTATGCATACCCACCTCAAGAGTTCTGAGGCCAACATTTCAGAGAGAAGAAAAATCCCTGCTAACCTTACCGTATGCACACACACCCCAAACTACTCTCTCGTATTTCTGCTCTGGTCCTGATACCTCATTCAGGCTTCTCAGCATGTGTGAGGTTCCACCAGTCTTGAAGAGCTTCCCCCAAGAGACATTTGAGTAGGGATATCATTAAAAACCTGTTTGCTTTGCACCTAACTGCTGCTTTCAAAGTAGAGAAAACGTATTTACCAATATTTGTTTACCGGCGTAGTAGCTAGCCCTCTGTTTGCTAGCTCAGGAATTAACAGCAGCAACAAGCAGAGGAAGAGGCCCAAGAGAAGCCTCCATTTCCCATCCCTGTTGCAGCCACTGCTCAACAGTAACTACCGGGATCCGAAAGGGTGGTGTGTCTGGCCTCTCAAGATCCTAATATAGTCACTCCAAGAACCTTGATAGGCAGCCTTAACTCCTGAGTCTCTGTGAATCCAAAATAAGTCGGGAGTGGACTGGAACAGCATGGTCATGTTGACTAAGGTTGATGAGGAGGATACCATGTTGGAGAAAAAGAAAAAGCAGCAATCATCCTGGTTATAACATCCCAGAGTTGCCCTGATGTCAGATAGGTGCACTCCCCTTTCCCAAATGATTAACTGACAATTACATCCAGCTCTTAGCTTCTTCTTAGCCTATTTACCAAAAAGTCAGTCTGTCTCTGCAATCCCACCCCCACAACACCCATATATATATATATATATATATATATATATATATATATGCTTGCTAGTTGCCTGAGGGAACATTTCTTGCCGTGTGCTAACTCTCTTGAAAGCCAGCACGAATTTGCCACTAATGACATCTCTCAGAAATGCAATTAGCCCTCATTCATGGCAAAAGTGCATTAGAGGTTCACAAACTCCAAGCGGGCTGTGATTGGGTGAGCGCATGAGGCTTAACACACTGAAAACTGCATTATAAAAAAAAAGATGGCCAAAGACAAGGTTCTAATATTACTTAATTACCCCAAGACATCCTCAGATGTAATTGAGCTTGGAAGGCTAAATGAAGGCTGCATGTGTGATATTGCCTGATGCATTCATAATGCCACCACTTTGCGAGACAAACTGAGCCTCTGGCAAGTGGGTGGGGGAGGGAAGCAAGAAATGCCTGAGGAAAAAAATCTTTCCAACGGTCTGCTTTCTTTGAAAAATATATCCTGCTTATACTTCCACTTTGGTAAACTGGGAAATTTGAGGACCCAGCCTTCCCCAACACTGGGCCGAGCAGCCCCAACCAACCTCATGACTGATCAGAAATGATGGGAGTTCTAGTCCATAACATCTGGAAGGCATTAGGTTTTCCTGCTTGGTGGTTTGCTGGATTTTTAGTCTAACAATGGTGGAGGGAAGCATGCAATAATGTGCAGGAATTAAAAGCAGCCATTTTTACTCAGGAAAATAACCCTGGGGTTCTTGACAAAAGAACCAAACCAAAGGGCAGCACAAATGCCACAGGAGTAAAATTATGCAGATTGCAGCAAAATTACGCCTAAGGAGTCTGGACCAGGAAAGAGAGCTGGGGTGGCTGACGGAGTGTGGAAAACATTGGTGAATTCCATGTTAGAGATCATTAGGGAAGGGACTGAAACAAAAATTGTCAATACCATGCTGTTATTATACAAATCTCTAGTGTGACCATGCTTGTGATCCTGAGCAAAGTTCTGGTCAGTTCACCTCAACAAAGGGTATCTTAGAAAAGGTGCATAAAAGGGCAACCAAACTGAAGGAGCAACACACATGGGAGGAAAGGTTGCAGCGTTTGGGACTTTTTAGTTTAGAAAAAAATATGAGTAAGGCGTGACATGATAGACGTGTATAAGATTGTGCATTGTGTAGAGAAAGTGGAGAAAGAACAGCTTCTCTCCCACTCTCATAATATAACTCAGGGACCTCCAATGAAGCTGACTGCATGAGGAGAGAGTGCTGTTGTACTTCTTGCAGACTTCCCACAGGGATCTGGTTGGCCACTGTGAGAATGGACTGCTGAGTTAGTTGGGCCTTTGGTTCAATCCAGCAGCGCTCTCTTATGTCCTTACAGATACAGGATATCAGCAGTGTGGAACCTCCAGGCCACAGGCCTAACTAGACCCACCAGGGCCCTTGACATATGAGGCCATTTCTGCCAAACCCACCTACACCTGACATCATATAAGGTATCAGGTATAGGGCAGGTAAATTTGAGCGCGGTTGAGAGGAAAGGAAGTTTGCAGGTACACCAATGAGTTGATCGACAGCACCTGCAAAGTGCTGTCCACTGGGCTTCCCAAGCCCCAATGATCAGGTGATCACCTGCATTTTGCAGGCTGTGCTTTAGCCTGTTTGATTTCAAATGCCATTGTATTGTCAGGTGGGTACCACTGCCCACCTGTTAAACTTGGGACATAGGTCTGGGGAGGAACAACAACCTGGCCTCATATTGTTCCTCAGGTCTAGTCCCTCCTCCTGCAGTGTATAGACAACAGCATTTTGTTTTGGCATCAGCTGTCAGGTTGTCAGTAGCTTAATAAATGAGCTTAATGATGCCCAAGAAGGAAGGCATAAGGCAGCTGTCTGACTAAGGTCTTCCATGGACAATATAATCTTAAAGCTATTGCCATGACAATCAGTAGCCTCAATGAGGGGTCTTGGTACTGACTCCAATGTTTACATCAACAGCTGTTATCCTGAGATACGTCCCAAGAACAGCTGGTGTGTGATGCAGCACTTTTTGGCTTAGAACCTCCAGGTTCTGTTACAGGGAAGCCATTAAAGGAGTGTTGACTTCCTTCCAACATCTGTGCAGACATCACAAAGAACCTTGCCTGGCAAACATATGCTCCTTGAAATGTCAGGATGGGGTACATCTCTTCGCAAGTAGCGTTTTGACCAGGGAGTTGGTTTCATAACTCCAATGTTGAATGGCTCCATTCATGAATCAGTTCCCTTGCCTGCTGCATGAGCAGCAGATCGTAGTGCCTGTCCATGAACAGACATGCTCAAAGTACAATGGGAACTGTGACAAGCCTACGGTCGGGGCCCTTGCAAGTAGATCAGCTACAGGTGCTGCAGCCTGCCATGTCATGACCCTGGAGTGGCCAGGACACTGAGTCAGAGGCGCCACCTGAGGAGCTGGATGGAGTTTCTGGCTTTGAGACTGATGCTGCTGATCAGGGGCATGGTGGAACTGAGGCTGGTAAGCAGGAGAAAGCCAGACCAGATCCCACGATACCAGATCCCATAGAACCAGAACTGGGATCCTCATTGCCACCTTCCTCAGGGCCCAAAGAACTGAGTGCTCCTCACACTGTCTTGCTAGCCCAACAGCATCAGGTGGGAGGCTATGGAGTGTAGGAGAGCTGTTCTTCTGCCTGGAGAGTTGACCCTTTATAAGGCTCTAGTTCCATAACAAAGTGGCAGAGCAAAGGAGGGGTAGGCTGGAGGCAAGGGACTCAAAATTTATCTCTGTCTGCTTCCAACCCCACTGGAGAAAGTTGCTGACTAGGAGCTCTCCTTGGTGCTGTGGGTTCTGCCACAGAACCAGAAAAAGATGTCTCATGTCAAGGGGCAATTTTGGCTTCTCTATCAGTTTTGGCTTCTCAGTTTCCCAGTCTTAAATTCCATTTCCCAAATTTACATATCAGTTTGCTAACAACAGCAACAACAACAACTCCAGAAGATTCCTCAGACTTTCAGTTCACTTTTCTCTTAATATACACAGTTGCATATTCAGTTTTGTCTCATATAAACATTTTTGCAAGCAACGTTCCCTAACATAATACTGTTTTGCATGTTATTTTCAGTAGTAGATGGGGTTTTATGCACACACACCTTTTTGCACACATTCGGGGGATTGGTGAACTGCATTGCAATATTCAGAGAAGTGTAAATTTCAAAGGATAGCAATGTTTCTGTGTATGCAATGTTTCAAGAAATGAAAATTAGGTAGTCAAACCAAAATCCTCCCTACTCCCAAATAAGCACTCCCAAGTTATACTTCACACAGTAGGCTGGAATGGTTCCTTGCAAGTAGTTCCAGGCCAGGTCTGCTGGCAGTGGACTGATGTGCTCAAAATAGCATCCATGTGTTTCATCAGCCTCCCTAATCTTATAATGCAGGCGTATCTAACATGGCACCTTCTAGATATTGTCAGACCAACATGATCATTGGCCAGAACAGCAGAAGCAGCTGGAAAGAGAGGAGAGGAGTTCAGGGATGGTTTTTAAAAATAATTTAATAAGTTGCTTTTCTCCATTTGATCCTTTTACTTGGTTTTGTATGCATTGTGGTCATTTATGCAATGTGGTTTGCTGTTATTTTTATTGATTATAGTTTAGTAATTATTCATTGTGATTACTGAGACTGAATTTCTGTTTCATTATTATCCGCTGATATTTAATTGTATTGTGTACTATTGTATTCTAATGGATGGTTGAATATTACTTTATTTGACAAATGCTGTTTATTTTAATGTTATGTTTTTATTATGGCTTTCTGTGTTGGATCAGATTGTTATTATGTTTGTTGTTTCTTCAGCTTGTAAACTGCCTTGTGCATAGCAATATAGAAAGGCGGTATACAAATTAGAAGTGAAAGGAAAAATGAAAGAAAGATGATGGAGTTCAATAACTTCTAGAGGGCATCAGTTTGGCCACCTCTGCCCTGATGTTTCCACCAACTTTCCCAGGTTCTTTCTCTGCTCCTCCAGGAACACTTATTCCTATGCAACAAAAATAGGAACCCCAGAAGAAATGGGAAGCAGAAGTGTAAAAATAATGGAATGGACAAAATTCCTTTCTGGCATAAGAAATAAGAGAGACAGCTCATCTGAATTCTGAGTTAGCGTTCTCTACATTTCACAAAAGAAGGACCAGTAGGGTCCAAAATATGCAAGACTTTATTGTCTACCCTCTTGGTTAGTTGGTTTTTTTTACTTCCACTTCCAGAAGCTACTGTTGGGGAGAAGGGCTCACAACCTGGTGGTGTCACAACAAGGGTACGTGTGCTTAAAGCTTATGGGGAGAGAGGGAGGCCATTTTCACACGTCAAGCACCGCTCTAACACAAAGAAGAATGTGGAGACATACTGAGACCAGAAAGGCCAGCTTGCTGCTTTTTTCTCCTTTTTTAATTGTCTTGGAAAGTGCAGCATTATGGAGCATGCTGGTGCAGACACTATTCAGAACGCCAGAAGACAAAAGCCAACTCACATGGTTGCCCAAGCCTACATTTACATACTGTGCAGAAGGAGATGTTAAAATCCAAATGGCCTGTAATAATTAACTCTCATTTAAACATTATGCTGTTTAACCATCACTTGCAATTCTACTCCGCCTGGAAGGGGGCTGGATTGTTGGGATTTTTTTTAAAAAAAATTATTTTAAGCATAGTAATAATGGAGCCTACTGGTTCTATATTGTATAATCTTGGTTGTCTCGGGACCAGCCCTTCCATGAATGCGGCATGTTTTGGGGCCTGCTGGAATGAGAACATTTAATGTCTGCTAATTGTTTCACTTCTAATAATTGCTGTGAACAGTCACCACAGGAGAGAAACGGGTTTTTTTTGAAGACATAATAGTAGAGAGGGGGAGAGAGAGAGAGCCTGCCTCTGGCACAGACATATTAACTGAATACTGTTCTGTTCATGCTGTTTAAGCACCACAATGGGTGACAAATAGCTATTAACATATAGTTCCTTGTCACTGGAGAAACGAGCACTTTTGGAGGCCAAGGCTGCCTTAGGTGTGAGCAAAATGCATTATTTATCACCAATTAATCTTCCTTTTTTTCTTTGTTCACTAGCCTCGTAGACGCAAGAGGGAGGTGGGTGGCATGATATTGCCCTAGACACCCCCAGGAACGTGAGATGGAGATGAGGAGACTCTCAGGACCACAGTCGTCATCCTCACAGAATTAAATGCGATGGCCAGGGAGAGGGTTCCTTGCCACAGTTGTTACATATACACCTGTCCTGTAACAAGAGACATTATACACTGTGGTGGTAGATTTAGAGGGGAACCAGAATTCCTCAGGAAACATGGAAATTTGATATTTTTCTTTTCTCACCTCCCTGCTGGTATCTTGCTGAAATGAAGGTGGCACAGTTACCCAGAAGCCCTTGGGCTTTGGGCCAGCGGCTGAAGTCAAGCTGTCCTTCCTTTCACCTCTATTTCTGCAGAGCTGAAGTGGAATTGCTTCTGGGAGGGGACTCAATATAATAGCCCTGCACCCCCGGACGTGTTTTGGACCGCCTCATTCCTCATATCTGCAGTGTGACAATAAAAGAATCCAATATAGTCAAGAACACACGCTCTGTTTGAAAACGCCTCCGGTTTGCTTGGTATCCCTCAGTTGACAACATACATGCCCCGCATGCAAAAACAGCCTCAGAGACGTTCAAAATTGGGAGGGGGGAGGTTTTTATTGTGAAAATGCCTTAAGGGAGAATGTCCTCCAACAATGATTCCAACTCTTGCCGTTGGTAAGCCAACCGCATTGATCTTCCTACCGTCTGCCAAGACTCCATGACTAATGAAGAAGAGAAACATACCACCAGTGCTGAAAGGTGACTGTGGATGGGAGCCCTGAGGCATAACAAAAGCAGATGGCTTCCTTGGCAAGGGCTTGCTCTTGTCCTCAGCACAGGGATGAGTGGATCAAAAGGAAGGCTGTGTGTGCATGTGTGAAATAACAGCTACAGAAGTTCACAGCAAGTTTTGTAATCCGAAGGAAGGAGGAAGGGAGGGAGGGGGAAAGATGGCAGCCTCATTTCCCTGCTCTGCATGAAAATTTGTGCTTGGTCACAGAATCATTGAGTTGGAACGGACCACAAGGGTCATTTATTCCAACCCTGTGCAATGCAGGAATCTCTCGCCAAATGTGGGGCTCAAACCCACAACCCTGAGATTAAGAGTCTTATATTCTACCAACTAAGCTTCGCTAATTTAGAAGGGTTTGCAGAATACTTTTTGTTCGCTTGTCATTTGCCAAAATCTTGGGTAAGCAAAATCGCAGAACTTTCGGGCAGTCATGGGTTCCTTTAAAGATGGGGGTGGCTGGGGTTATTTGTTCTTATTTCCCCCTCACAAGAAATGGAGAACCTATCTGAGCAGAATTGCAACTTGCATACTTCCTCTTTGAATTATTGGAATGCTGCTGGAGACAGATTGAAAGCTGCACCTAGCGCAGAATGCAGCAGCGAGGCAGTGACTGCCAATTCACCACTGAGCTCAGTTTAAGGATGTTGAGCTCATTGATCTATAAAGCCCTAAGTGACTTGGGCACCAAATATTTGAAGGAGTGCTTCCTCCCACATTAACCTGCCTGGGTATTAAATTGGCAAAGGAGGCCCTGTTGGGAGTGTCTCCACTCTCTATGGTTTGAGGGGCAGAGGAGTGTGAAAAGGCCTTCTTTGTGGTGGCCTCCAGGTTGTGGATGTGGAATGAGGTGCATCTTGCACCATCCCTGTATGTTTTTATTATTTTTATTATTATTATTATTATTATTGATCAAGGCAAACCTCTTTATTTGCTGTTTTGTGCTAAAGGACCCCGAGGGTTAAGTCCAGTCGCAGACAACTCTGGGATTGCAGCGCTCATCTCGCTTTGCAGGCCGAGGCAGCTGGTGTTTGTTCACAGACAGTTTTCCCGGGTCATGTGGCTAGCATGACTAAGCCGCTTCTGGCACAACAGAACACTGAAACCAGAACAGCGCACGGAAATGCCATTTATCTTCCCACCGGAGCGGTACCTATTTATCTACTTGCACTTTTGGCGTGCTTTCAAACTGCTAGGTTGACAGGAGCTGGGATGGAGCAACGGCAGCTCACCCCGTTGCAGGGATTTGAATCGCCAACCTTCTGATTGGCAAGCCCAAGAGGCTCAGTGGTTTAGACCACAGCACCACCCTCTTTGGTTGTTCTGTGGTGTTATTTTATTATTCTGGTGAAACTTGCACTTGTTCTTAATTGTGGTATTTTTGTAGCTCACCCTCTGGGACCATTTGATGAAGGGTGGGTCAGAAGTTCACACAGGAAATAAATATGGATGGATGGATGGATGGATGGATGGATGACAGGACTCTTGCATATGAGAGCCTTGCCAAGAACCCCACAAAGGAACAAACAAAACATTGCACAGAGAAGCCTGTGCTTGTACTTTTCTTCCTAAAGACTTGCCATGCCAACAGCTTTCCTGAAATGTGCATACTAAATAGGATGTTCCCAGCAAGGCCGGCTTCGCTTCTCGTCTGAAAGCAACGATGAGTGGAGACGTCACAAGGCAATGATGCTGGAGAGACCATTGCTTTCCTTCTGCCGGGTGGACCATGCCGAAACACCTGTCTCTGCTCTTGAAGTCATTTGTATCTGTCTCTGAAGAAGGACAGGCAACAGCAACACAAAAGCAGCACAAAATTAAGTTAATTCCGGTATTTATCTGTTGAGAAGGAGAATTAAATGGAAGTATAAATATCTAACCAGCTTTGCTTGTTTTCCATTAAAGAATGAAAGATTTGCCATAGACCTTTGATTATTATGCATTTTTATAGGCTTCACCTTTTTCCCTGATGGGACTCAAGGTTGCTTACAGATAATGGAAAACGAGCGAGGTCCCAGCTAAAAAAGAGTGGCAACTTAAGTTGACAGAATATGCACAGCTTGCAGACTTAACATATAGAAGAAGAGAACAAGAAGAACATGTGTTTAGAGAAGATTGGAAAACATTTATTGAATATATGGGAAATAACTGTGTACAGCTGAAAAGGCTGGCAGCATTAAAATATACTGAACAGTGTATATAAGTTATGATGGATGTAACAATGGAATACTGAATGGTATCGTTTATGTAAAATATGCGGGGATTTATGATATGAAAAATGAACCATGGAAAGAGAAGAAGGGAAGTCACTGATATCTTAAGGATGTATAAATGAGTACTTTCAAATGTAAAACAGAAAATTTAATTTTATAGACATATACAGACAGAGAGAGAAAAATAAGAACCTCAACAATCATTTAAAAACTGTTAAATATGGATTTAATTAAAAATGTTTACATATATAAAATCTACTAAAACCATAGCAATAATCACAACAAAAACAGCATGGGAAAAGCCCTTTCGTTGAAAGCGGTCGGTTCCAAAAGTCTGCTGGAACAAAGAGGGAGCCAGTCTAGTTTCTCTAGGAAGGGAGTTCCAAAGTCTGGGAGCAGCCACCGAGAAGGCCCTCTTCCACATCCCTACCAAACATGCCAAGAGAAGGGCATCCCCTGAACATCTCAAAACCTGGGCAGGCTTGCATGAGGGTATCTGGTCTTTCAGAGAGTTTGGACCTAAGCCATGTAGGGCTTAACCAGCACTTTGATTTGTGCCCAGAAACAGACCAATAGCCAGTGGAGCTGTTATAACAAGAGAGTCGTATGCTCCCTATAACCATAATAGACCAACAACAAAACAAACAAAAAAACCAGAACAGATACATGTTTATTCTTGCAGATGCTTCTTTGTGGGACAGAAATGCTCCAGCTGATGATAAAGACACAGCTGGATAACTCTAGGCAATTCTTAACTGATGAAGTGTAAACATCGATGTTTTCTGTTGATTCTTACAGGCGTTTCCCCCCTCCTGCAGCCATACTCCAGCAGAGCTTGATGAAAAGCAGCTCCCCACACCTTCCTGACATCTTCCACACTTGCCACCCACCCTCACAGATAAGGAAGGGTATGCTCCAAATGGGTTTTGAAGGTGGATTGCTACAAGTTCATGAGATGGAGAGCGGAAGAGGAAGGCACGTATTCATCAAAGAGCACAGAGTAACTCAGCTAGTGCAGAACGGAGAGGCTATATTGCAGATGGGGGCAGATAGCTAATAGCACACCACACGTCTGCTAAAACTTATGCCACAGGGCCAGGTTCAAAGCTCTTGTGATTATATGCAGTATACCAGTATGTAATGGTATTCTTGTAATCAGTAGAGAACAACCTATTTCAGGAAGCATACAAATATTCACTGTGTAAAACAGTTAATTTTTGCGTTTCTCAAGCCATAGACCTCCTTGGGAGAACAGAGGATGTAGCGTTTTACAAAATAAATCTTTGCTGTGCACCTCTTGAAACGTGTTGTTCTTCACTGTTCTAGGGTGCTACTTGTTCTTGGCTGCAAATATTTTCTCCATGAGAATTGGTTTGTTTTCTCAATGTATCGTGTTGACATTGTCCAGATAAGGGATTTTGGAGCAGGGTGTTTCGAAGAAAAAGAGATAAAGAAAAGAAATAATTTCAGAGAGATTGAAAGTAAATGCAACTTCATATTCCTGCATGGCAGGGGGTTGAACCAGACTGCCCTCATGATCCCTTCCAGCTCTGTGATTCTACAGGGATTGCTTGACAGCACCCAGGGGGGAAAAATAAAGCAAGAGAATGATTGGGAACCTTGGGGCATCAAAAACACATTTTTTTGGATCACAAAACTGGGTATGGCCCAAAATAGATCACATTCTGTGCCACACCAGAGGGACGGTGTTTGATGTAGCAAAGAGGAGACAAGCAGACAAGCAGTGGACATGCAGTGGGCTGCAGGACCATGACTTGTGTCTGTTGCATGTTTGGATAAGTGTTATCTTTTCTTCACGCTTCATTTTTCTACTTATGCAAAAATCAGACAGTAGGTGAAATGGCTCTGGGATTGTGGCACTTCTAGTTAACACGCTGCATTGCTAATTGAGTAGCCAACTCCAGGCAATGGGCTTTGTGGAAGATGTTTTGGCTTAACACCAGCGGTTCCAGTGGTACATTCAAGCAAAATCTCTTTGCAGCCACGGAATAGTTCACATGGCACAGCCAAACAAGGCCATGAAATCCAAGTCCTGGGAAATTATACCAGAGTTTGCAAGACAAGTGAGCTGCAATAATATATAGCAGGTGCCTTCATAAAAAAGTTAGGTCCACAGGGACAATTCATACTTGCTACTTCTTCCCTGTCCATGTCAGACTTTGGGTAAATGCCATCATGTGCTTTAAAGTGAGCCTGAATTTAACACACTCCGAACTGCAAAGAGGCTGAGTTGGTATTGAGCAAATATCATTGCATATCCCAGCATGCTTGGGCTGTTTTCTTTTGGCCCTCAAAGCAGCAGCACGGCAGACAGCATTTAACCTTCTAAGATAGTTGGTTTTTAAGGGGGGGTACCTCACACAGATCTTAGCAAAAGCTCATATTCATAACCTTTTTAAAAAAGCACCATATATCTTCATTTCAATCCCCACTCCTCACATTTCAAGTAAGCAGCAATCCCTACCCTACAAGAGTAAACCTGAATTTTGACTTGCCTCGTATTAAATACCACACATGGCTTGTTAGATTTGCTGAAGCCATTGCTTTTCAGCAGGCGCTGTTTCCTCGCTGTTTAGAGCTTCACTTCCAGATTGTTTCTTTGAAAGAGTGGATGTTGCAAAAGAACTGCAAATCATCCTTCGGTTGGTCTGACATGAAGTCTCATGCTGTCCCTATTTGTGGACACATTTCCTCCTCTTCCCTATCAAGGCTTTATTTTTATTTTATTTTATTTTTTAAAATGCCATGGTGAATATGTGTCATGGGATCCACCCACCCGTGATTTCATCTGCTCATTTCTTTCAGGCTGCTCCAGCAACTTCATGACTGTATTTCAAGCTTTGTCGCTCTGTGGAGGCAGCTGCACAAATTGAGTGCTTAAGGAAATACAAACCATGTCCAAAATAGACATTAATAGAAAAGGTGAGGAGATTCGTACAATCGTATCTTGGATCCTGAATGCCTTGGTACTTGGACGTTTTGGCTCCCCAACGCCGCAAACCCGGAAGTGAGTGTTTCAGTTTGTGAACATTCTTTGGAACCCGAACGTCCGACGGGGCTTCCGCTGCTTCTGATTTGCTGCAGGAGCTTCTTGCAGCCAATCAGAAGCTGTGTTTTGGTTTCTGAACATTTTGGAAGTCGAACGGACTTCCGGAAAGGATTCCGTTCGACTTCCAAGGTACGACTGTACAGGAGAAATACAACATAGCCATGTTTAGATTGTGGAAAGGGCTTCTGTCAGAGCAGACACCTCACTTCCCACCAAAGAATTCATACGGGGGGGAACTGTTTCAGTGTTTGGAGTATGGAAAGAGCTTCTGCTGTGATGGTACTTACACTTCCCATCAAGGAATTCATGATAGAATGAAACTATTAAATCCCAATTCCGTCTTCTGCGGCATTAACTACTCCTCCTAACTACTTGGTGTCATCTGCAGATTTGACAAGCATCCCCTCAGTTCCGTCATCCAAGTCATATATAAAAATGTTTAACAACAATAGGCCCAGGACAAAACCCCACCACATTGGACAGATCAGTCAGTAGAGCATGAGACTCTTGATCTCAGGGTTGTGGGTTCGATCCCCACATTGGGCAAAAGATTCCTGCACTGCAGAGGGTTGGACTAGATAACCCTTGTGGTCCCTTCCAATTCTACATGTTAGATTACTGTTATGCCCATATTGCAGAGTAATAGTGGGTGGGCACTGAGAAGCAGCTTACCTACATAGCCGAGCAGAGATTTGAAGCAGAAACATTCTTCATGTATTAACTGCTAACTAATTTTTGCAGATTGCTTCTCAACCAGACTTGAGCAGCAAAACAAAACAGGAGCAAACGAAGCGCAAGTAAATGAGCCTTGACATCATTCTCTTATTGCCCGTTCCTTGCTGCTTCGGAGGGCCAGCTGTCCCCTTCTTCCACCTCTTTTCTGGCACACTCTTCCCTTTGACTTCATCAAAGGTCCCCATGACATATGTGTCACTGGCCTCGATCAAAGTTGTACCTATAGATGCAGCCCCAGCATGGAGCCGAAAGCAAAGATGGACCAGATGGTCTGGATATGCCTGGGCTGGAGGAATTACTCATCCAGAAATGAACTTTAATTGAAAAAGTGCTTAATGCTGGTATGAAGAAGCCTAGCATAATCCAGGGGAACTCAAAGGGGCACTGCGTGCTCTGTTTCAGCACACCAGAGAGAGAGAGAGAGAGAGAGAGAGATTCTCTTTTTATTTACATTATCTAGATTGTCACAACAGCCATGAAGATGGTTTCTGGAACTCCTCCAACACCTGGAGAAGTGATGAAATAAAAAAAGCAACAAGGGTTTTGCTTCATTATTCCTTCCAGTAAGGGTTAAGAAGAAAAGACCCATCTTATCTGATAGATCCTTTTCCATCTAATTGAATTGTCCCCACATCTCGTTAAGGTATGAAATGCATCTTCACCCTGAGCCTAATCTCCATTAGACATTCTGTCAACAGTGTGGAAGAAAGAATACACAGCGTGCCAGAGGTAGACAGTCCTGGCACCCCTAGAGGAGACCGAGACTTACCTTTGGCTCCACAGGTCACATTTAAGGTTTTTTGGCAGACGTGCAGAGCAATCCGAAATTGCTGGGGGTCGGAGAGTCTGTGGCGGAGGACCTGCCAATTCCTCAATGCTGCTGGCTTACGCTGCCCAAGGTGGAAGGAGAGCTGGATTCTCTCTTCAATATTTTCCCCATTCAGCCTTTCCACTTCCTCCATTTACACTAAAGGAAGATGAAATAACTACTTCAGCATTGCTTCGATTTTCCTAAAGAAAATTTAGAAAGCCGGTGCGGTGTAGTGGTTAGAGCAGACTTCCTCAACCTCGGCCCTCCAGATGTTTTTGGCCTACAACTCCCATGATCCCTAGCTAGCAGGGCCAGTGGTCAGGGATGATGGAAATTGTAGTCTCAAAACATCTGGAGAGCCGAGTTTGAGGAAGCCTGGGTTAGAGTTTCAGGCTAGGACCTGGGAGACCAGGGTCAAAATCCCTACTCAGCAATGAAGCTCACTGGGTGACCTTGGGCCTTTCCCTGCCTCTCAGCCTAACCTACCTCACAGGGTTGTTGTGGGGGTTCAAAGAGGAAACACGCACACCACTTTGAGTCCTTGGAGGAAAAGGTGGGGTACAAATGCAATTAAAAAAAACAATTTAGGATGAAACAATTGAGATTTGAAGCAGTTGTGTGAGATAGTCACACATGGGTTCTTTGCAAGATTTTATTTTTTTATCACAATACATTGCACTGACACAGCTTTAGAGTGATTTATTTTATTTTGCCTTCTGCCCTTAGTTCTCAGCTGGCAAACCTGGCATTACTTAAAGCCAAGCCACTTAATGGAAGGCAAAAATGGGCAGACAGCTATAGCATCAAATACTCTCTGCTTATGGGCATTTTATCAGCACCTTGCCACTCCTTGCAAAGAAAGGGGGGAAGGGGGAGGCAGATTTCTTTTTTCAGTGGAACCGGTGATAAGAATTTGCGTGAATTAGGACAGCAATTTGCTGCTTTTGCAAATTAGTTGGTTTGCCCGATTTCAGTCTGAACTGGCAGAAAGAAATGACTTGAGAGATGCCTACAAAAACCAAGCCTACACCCTGGCCCATCTTACCTTTCTTCTAAACAAATGTGTGCTTTTTAAAACACTTTTTTTATTTTAAGTCTCCCCCCACAGTAGTGGAACATCTTATTATGCACATATCTTGTCCTTTATGTGGCAGCAAGTGATGGAGGCGAGAGGAGGGCCAATGGGCTGTAATTGCTCTAAAGGTAGTGATTTTGATATCTTTTATTATCAGGGTGCCCAGACGTAAAATGAATCTCTGTAATATTTATAATGTGTCATTTCTTATAATAAGTAGTCTGATGTGACAAATGGAGACAGAGTCAAAGGTGTCAATTAAGGGGGAAATGTCACATTGTACTCCCCCCCCCCCCCCGCATTGCAGATGCTGCCTTCTAGCTACCAGGCGCATGGAAAAGAAAGGTTCTTTGCCATATTTTAACCTATTCCTCCTAAGGAGACGGTGACGTCAATCCACCCACTCTTTTAAGTTACAGTGCCACGTTTACCTTCAGTGGGACTTACCTATGCTTCAGTGACTGAGGTGCTGCAAAGGAAAGTTTGGTAAAAAGTATGGAACAGGGTTTTGCAATCCTCCTCCCGGTGGCACAACGGGTCGGTGCGCCTTGCTGTTAACCAAAAGGCTGGTGATTCAAGCCCACCCAGGGATGGCTATGGGCAGGATTCATGCACTGCCCAGGGATTGGACTAGATGCCCCTTGAGTTCCCTTCCAACTCACCATTTCCATGATCCTAAGCAAAGAGCTGTTAAGAATAGCCCTACGCTGATGACCACTCAGTGACTTCTCCAGGAATAAGAAGAGCCCTGATGGATGAGCCCATAGGTGTGTCTAGTTCAGCATCCCGTTTCCCACAATGGCCAATCAGATGCCTTTGGGGAAGGCATCCTATCTCCAATCCAAAGTGGGGAGTGTGCTGTTATGCTTAGGTCCTGCTTGTAGGTTCTTCAAAGGCATCTGGCTGGCCAATGAAAGAACAGGACACTGATCTAGATGGGCCATTTGCTTGATGATGATGATCATAAAAATTATCATTTATACTCTGCCCATCTGGCTGGGTGGCTCCCAACAGAATATTAAAAACATGATAAAACATCAGACATTAAAAACTTCCCTAAACAGGGTTGCCTTCAGATGTCTTCTAAAAGTCAGATAGTTGTTTATTTCCCTGATGGGAGGGCAATCCACAGGGCAGGTGCCACTACCTAGAAGGCCCTCTGCCTGGTTCCCTGTAACCTCACTTCTCTCAGTGAGGGAACCGCCAGAATGCCCTCGGAGCTGGACCTCAGTGTCCAGACTGAACGATGGGGGCGGAGATGCTCCTTCAGGTATACTGGGCTGTATAATGGGCCATTTAGGGCTTTAAAGTTCAGCACCAACATTTTGAATTGTGCTCAGAAATGCACTGGGAGCCAATGTAGGTCTTTCAGGACCAGTGTTATATGGTCTCAGCTCTTCTTAAGGTCTTATGGTCTTGATCCTGGAGACTGTGGGTGTGTGTATTGGCAGGAGAGGTAAACAACCAGTTCCTGATTCCATTCTACCAAGCAGTAACCTGCCAGGTTTCTAATTCACACAATCATTTGTTATGAGAGGTGAGTTGCCCATTACCAGACCATGATGCAATTTTGGAGGGAGCAAAAAGTGATAAGGCTACTAGCAACCATCTAGGTTTTAACTGAAATTACACAGCAGACATTTTGTCTAAGAAATTTGTTGACGCTCTGTGAAATGTCCCCCAGGTATTCTCCCTCATTCTCACCCCTACCATGCATGTGTACACACACATGAACATGCAGTATCCAAGAATTAGACCCAGGGCATTGGAGGAGACAAAATGGGGCCAGGATGCCAACTCAGATGTTGCTACTGTGATGGAGGTGGGGTGGAGAAGTGAAGCCTTTGCCACAGCTAATGGTGAGAAACTTGAATTTCTCCTTACCCTGGAGAAATTTAGTGGAATGGTCCTCCCAGTTTCTCTACCCACCTACATTTTGTGCAACAGTCTCTCTCTCTCTCTCTCTCTCTCTGTCTCTCTCTCTCTCTGTCTCTCTCTCTCTCTCTCTCTCTCTCTCTCTCTCTCTCTCACACACACACACACACACACACAGAGTAGATTTCAAGAGCAGGAAAGCCAGTTGCAGATCCCTAGTGCATGCTGAATTCCTCTGCTTGCTCAGAGCTTCTTCAGATCCATACATTTGTATTAAATGGTCTGTTAGAGATTTGCTGGCACTTTTCAAGCTCTGACAGTCCTGTTTTTATTTCAATTGCCTTTAAGCCAATTCATGAGATTTTCATATATAAATATGGAAATATGCAAAGTCCTCAGATTTATAGGATCTGACATTGTGGTTTAAACGAATCCCAAATGATCTGGTCTCTTCCTTACATATTCATTCCATTCCCCTCCGTGACACGGTCCCATTCTTCACTCAATAGCAACCCCTGCTGGTGCTCCAGAAACAGAGCTTGTCCCTCGAACGTTGCCTCTCCTCTATTTGCCATCCATCATTTAATTCACTTGAGAATTTGCTTATCTTCCAAATGAGTCTGCTGATGGCATGCTGGGTTTGACCTAATATTATTGCTGAAGAAATGTCAACTCTGGAACAAACAAACCTGTGGAGAATTTTACATATGTTAATGAAATTTGTCATTTAATTCTCCCTCTCTCCTTCTTCCTCTTGTTCTTCATGTCAGTCCCATGCTGCTATCTATATATGTAGCTATCTACCTAGCTTCGTACCCACCTATATATCTCATATTTTTTATCACTCTGTTTCTCCAAGGACCTGGTTGCTTCATGCATGTGATCATCCCATTTCATCCTACTACAGCTCTGAGATAGATTGTTCTCCTCCAAGGAGGTTCATGGCAGAACATTAGAGGGGTTCCTGTCCACGACCAAAGGCAGATGGTGTCATGAGGAAGGAACATCTTCATTCGGGAAGAGCTGAAATGAAGCACCTGTTCCTTAGAGTACACAAACTGATCTCAGTCAGCCCATGTGCTCTAGCCAATCCAAGTTATGCACACTATCCATACACATGATGGGGTAGAATCGCAGGAAAACGCAGCCATGTCAATGCCATTTCCTTGTCACACAAGCAGCTCTGCTATGTTATAAGTGTGGGACATGTGTTTTGGCAGGCATATATTTAGATCGGCCTTCCTCAACATGGTGCCTTCCAGATGTTGGGCTCCCAACTCACATCTGCGCAATCCAGCATGGTCAGCGATGGGTTGATCCCCAGATGTTCAGCAACATCTGAAGGACCAAAGGTTTCCCACCTCTGCCCTGAAGCTGCAAACCCCAGAGCACTAAGAGCAGGCTTCCTTAATCTGGTGCCCTCCAGATGTTTCGAACTACAGCCCTGCAATATGGGAATTGCATTCCAAGACATCTGGGTGGCACCAAGTTGGAGAAGGCAGGAGAAGCAAATGCATCTGTCAAACCAATTCATGCTCAGCAGCAGGGATGGGGAATTAGCAGCTCCCATCAGCCTCCAGCCAACATGGTCAACAGAAGATGGGCGGCCAGCAATATCTGGAGGGTACTGAATTGCAGAAGGCTGGTTTAGAGAATCTTTGGAGCTGCTTCTGCTGTCATTGTACTTCCTTGTCCTTCCCATCCTCCCTTGAGTCACACAATGTCCTCTTTAATGAAACCTCTCCTGGAAAAGAATCGGCAGTGATGAAAGAGAAGCTGCAGGTGCCATCAAAGGCAAGGGCAGGCTGACATTGGTCAAGGACCAGCTTTGCAAAGGAAAGGAGATTCTTTTCATCCCACTCTTGGGGGCAAGCATCCAGTACAGGGAATTAAGCTGCACAGAGGTGAATTCTCAGTGACACGACGAACACATGGCGCTCCTGAAAGCTCTGTTTTGAGAAAGGGTGTGTGTGTCTCTACTGCTTGAAAACCTCATGCCCAATAACAGCAACAGCAGATGATGCAACACCTCTCCTCTTGGGTCCCCAAGGCTCTTTTTCTCTTGCTGAACTTGCTGCAACCTCAACACACACACACACAGAATGCCCTTTCTAGTTAGCAAATGGAGCGTCACAGCTAGGTGGCTGTCACATTTCCAGAAATTCATCCACCATCTCAAGGATGCCAAGAAATGAGCAGGCACCAGTGTGAAGTATGTGACCATGCCAGGTCTCCAGAAGAGCAATGTATTCATCTAGATGTCTGTCAGAGACCCTTTCAACCCAAAGCCCACGTCCTCATTCTGCCCCTTTCCGCCTCCTACTCTGTACGGTTCAAGCTCATCAAATGTGAAGGTGGAGCCTGACTGTCATCTAGAGGAACAGCGATGAGGCAGCTTATCAGCCTAGAGAGCTGTCCCTGGCAGAGCCACGGCAGCTAAACCTAGCGGTGCAGCAATAAAACTGCTAGCATGTTTGCAAAGCTAAGCAGGGCCTGGTATGGTTTCAAATTGACTGTTGAGATTCCTGCATTGCAGCGGGTTGGACTCGATGACCTTCGGGGTCCCTTCCAACTCTACAAAAAAGGTTTTTAAGGAAATTCATCAAAATCTGGACTTCCAGCATGGGTTGCCGTACATCCAGATTTTCCTATTGCAGCAATTTCTGGACGGACACTGTTTCCAATTGCCGAATCTTGTCTATGTCTGGGAAATTCCGGGTGTACGGCAGCCCTACAATTCTGTGATTCCATACTTTGGCAAATACCTTGCCCTTTTCTCTTACCACTCAAATACAGAAAGCTAATGTTTGAGCTGCACAGAGGCCGCTGGCAACAAGTCACACTCCACACATGGATGAGAAGGCTCTCAGTGGGCACTGGCCATAATGGCTAAGCTTTGCCTCCACAGTCTGAAGCCCTGGGGAGCTTCTGCCAATCAGTGTGGACAATTTTGAGCTTGATGGAGCGATGGGTCTGACTGGGTATCAGGCAGCTTCCTATGTACAGGGGGGGAAGGCAGTTAACATGATAAAGGAGTTGCAGCACCTTCCTTATGGGGACAGGCTAATGCTTTGAGGCTTTCATAGTTCAAGCAGCGAAAGACAACTCAAGAGCTTGTAAAATTATGGATGGTGTGGAGAGCCGCATTTTTCTTTGGGAAGACACAAAGCTCCCATTAATTATATTTATAAGAGTAAAACTCATACAGATAAGGAGAAGTGGACCGAAAGTCTTTTGCATCCTCTGCATCTCTTAGAATGCTCCACAAAGTTGATTTGCGGTAAGTCGGGGAAAGAAAGACAAAATGAAAGGACTTTTTAACACAGAGACACACACACGGCACAAACACCAGCCTATGAACTCCACCGGCATAAGACATGGTCGTGGCTGCCGTTGGCTTAGACAGCTTTTGTAAAGGGTTCGATAAATTCATTCAGGATCGGTCCTGGTGACATCGACAGCTATATGGCATTCCACGTCGGTGCTAAAACACTGTACTTCTGGACACAAGATGCATTCAGTGGAGAGATGCACTTCCTTTTGTCTGTCCTGAACCTACTGCAAATTGACTTCACCGAGTTGATGTGGATGATGGAGGAGGCAAGATACGATTGGACCACTTGTCCTTATCTATTCCTACGGGTTCGGCTCTTATAAATATAATTGATGAGCACCTCTCGCCTTACAAAGGAGCAGTTCCCAAGCTGCCCGATTCCAAACCCCTGGCTCTCCTTTTCCTTTCAATGGAGCTGCAAAGCCCGTTTCTTGTAACGCACGGCACATTCCGCAAGATCAGCCCGCGTGTAGCTGTGTGGTGACCCCCCCTCCACACGCCCTCACCTCCTTCCCCTTTTTCTTCCCACCTTTTATGCAGTGCCTTCTTCCACTTTATTCCTCAACATGAATCATCCTATTATTAACTTGTGACACCATTAGCTTCTGCTGTCACCAGAGCTGACAGTTCAAAGGCCCCCGAGAGCTCTCTGCAAAGGCACAATAAATGAGATCTCTTAATTAACACCTCCTTTAACTAAATAAATTAATTTTATGCAACTGATATGTCATCTTCTCCATTTGAGGGTGACTGAATATCCTGTCTGGCTTCAGGTTCCTCCGCCTTGGCTAGCATCGCCATCTCTTGCTAAGTCTGCAGGTGGGGGGAGCGTTGCTTGGCAAGCTTCTGATAACATAGGACTGATGTGCTGAATTGATCTGCCCGATGGCAGCAGCTCCCCTAGCCCCAGCTCCCGGGTGCTAAATATGAGTTTGTGCAAATCATCTGCAATGAGTGGAGGCTGCTATTTTCCTCTCTCCCCCGGCTGCATGTCAATTACAGGGGCTGAGCAATGTGTGGCTGAATTACTCATGGCAAACCACTCCGAAAGCCTGCTTGGCACAAACTGGGAGCCACTCTGAAAAGCAGGGGAAAGGCAATCTGTATCAATGGCCCCATAAGCAAGAGGCGCACTGCACTGGCTACCGATTAGTTTCCGGGCCCAATTCAAAGTGCTGGTTTAACCCATAAAGCCTTAAACTGCTCAGGACTGCCTCTTTCCATATGAACCTGCCCAGACCCTGAGATCATTTTCTGAGGCCCTCCTTCGTGTGCTTCCTCCTCGAGAGGTCCGAAGAGTGGCAACATGAGAACGGGCCTTCTCTGCAGTGGTTGCCTGTCTGTAGAAAGCTCACCCCAGGGAAACTCGCCAAGCGCCTTCATTATACACCTTTAGGCACCAGGCAAAAATGTTCCTTTTTATCCAGGCCTTTGGTTCTCCTGATCAACAGCCCATACCCTTTTAAAAGGTGGCTCTTTTGGGGGGAGTATTATTGGGTTATTGCTTTTATTTTTATTTTATATATTGTGATCTTTTTATGTGAACCCCCCTGAGACCTCCAGGTATAGGGCGGTATATAAATTCAATAAATAATAATAATAATAATAATAATAATCTGATGATTTGTCCATGTGAGTCTCCAACTGGGACAAGCCAGATGTCCCCAGGAAACACATGAAAGGAGTAGCTTTCTTCTGTTTGTCCACAGCGCCTGTGTATGCCTGGGCATCGCTCTGAACAGGGATGTTCCACTTTTCACTGTGGCAGCTTAATAAGAGGCCCCTGCAATCAATGTCACAGTGTTGAATTTCAATCAGAGTTTACATGCCAAAGCTGGAAGTGTGGATGAATCCTCTGGATTGTTTATTTGCATGTTTCTCCTCTCAGTGTTTGAGGAACCCTGGAGAGAGATTCGCCTGATATGTTGATTTTTATTTCATTTTATTGCATCACCTCTCGAGAGTTTAAGGTGTCAACAGCACTCTTTGTCCAGTGACAGCAAAACTCACTATATTAAAAGAGCATCTTGTCTAGACTGTGGGGCAACACTGGATATCTTGCAGATATTCTCTTGACAGAAGCAAGATTTATAAGATGCATTTTGTCCTGAAAGATGGTTCCAAAAAGGGGGGTGGGTGGAATGGTAACTTCATGGGCATTAGATATATATTAAGGAGATAAATAGGGACGCGGGTGGTGCTGTGGGTAAAACCTCAGCGCCTAGGACTTGCCGATCGTATGGTCGGTGGTTCGAATCCCCTCGGCGGGGTGAGCTCCCGTCATTCAGTCCCAGCTCCTGCCCACCTAGCAGTTCGAAAGCACCCTTAAGTGCAAGTAGATAAATAGGTACCGCTTTATAGTGGGAAGGTAAACAGCGTTTCCGTGTGCTGTGCTGGTGCTGGCTCGCCAGAGCAGCTTCGTCACGCTGGCCACATGACCCGGAAGTGTCTTCGGACAGCGCTGGCCCCGGCCTCTTAAGCGAGATGGGCGCGCAACCCCAGAGTCGGTCACGACTGGCCCATACGGGCAGGGGTACCTTTACCTTTAAGGAGATAAATAATAATTTGTAATTGGGTGTATGGGCTAATTTAAATGAAACTGCAAAAAATGTGAATAAGGATGTAAGACTTGCCAATGCTATATTAGACAATGGGCTATTGAGTTCAGCACTCTGCCTTTAACAGTCATCATCCAAACATCCCTGAGCAGTTCGCAAGTCAAGAAAAGTGAATAGACCATATAGAGAGACACTATCTTGAGCAAGATGGTCCAGTGGTCTGATTCAACGTAAGACAGTTTCCTACTTTCTCATTTGAACAAGGGTCCAAATGGATGCAATGTATTATTGCGTGTAATTTGTGAGGATTTGAAATATTATTGCACAGCTATCTCTCAAGTGTATGAAAGAAGACATCAGTTCGGCCTCCAGGCCATGGGACTTGTCTCTCAACAGCTGCCCTAAATCTGCGAACTTAAACCTTTCACAGCCACGAGGAAGTGATGGCTTTAGTTGCCTCTGGCTTTTGCCCACATGGAAAACTGTGACCCATATTTGCAAACATGTAACTTTAAAAGCCAGGATTTCAAGCAAGCAATCCTAGGTGCAGTTTTAGTTAATCCTTCTCAAAGGGGATATAACAGAGCTGGAAAGTGTGTGGAAAGGGGCAACCAAAATGAGCCAGTTGTCGGAGCACCTTCCTTGCAGGAAAAAAATGGTTTAAATGGGTTTTTGAGGTGCGTGGCACTTCTATACTGTCATTATTATCTATACTGTGGATCTCTATACTGTGAGATCCCATGGACAGTAATACTAAAAGGAAAGGGAGTTCATGATGGCTGGGAGTTTGTTAAGAGGGAGATAGTAAAAGCACAACTTCAGGCAATACCAATGAGACGGAAACATGGAAGGTGCCTAAAGAAGCCAGGGTGGCTATCTAAAGAACTTTTAACTGAGTTAAGGTTAAAAAAGGATGTGTACAAAAAATGGAAAAGGATGGAAACCACCAAAGAGGAATTCAAACAAATAGCCAGCACGTGTAGACACAAAGTCAGAAAAGCTAAAGCACAGAATGAACTCAGGCTTGCTAGAGAGGTTAAAAGCAACAAAAAGGCTTTTATGGGTATGTTCATAGCAAAAGGAAGAACAAAGAAACAGTGGGGTCACTCAGAGGAGAAGATGGTGAAATGCAAACAGGGGACACAGAAAGGGCTGAACTCCTCAATGCCTTCTTTGCCTCAGTCTTCTCCGATAAAGAAAACAATGCCCGACCTGAAGAATTTGGAGCAAATGATTCAGCAGAGGAAACACAGCCCAGAATAACTAAGGAGATAGTACAAGAATACTTGGCTAGTTTAGATGTATTCAAGTCTCCAGGGCCAGATGAACTGCATCCAAGAGTATTAAAAGAACTGGCAGATGTGATCTCAGAACCACTGGCAGTCATCTTTGAGAATTCCTGGAGAACAGGCGAAGTCCCGGCAGACTGGAGGAGGGCAAATGTTGTCCCTATTTTCAAAAGGGGAAAAGAGAGGACCCAAATAATTACTGCCCAGTCAGTCTGACATCAATACCAGGGAAGATTCTGGAGCAGATCATTAAGCAAACAGTCTGTGAGCACCTAGAAAGGAATGCTGTGATCACCAATAGTCAGCATGGATTTCTGAAAAATAAATCATGTCAGACTAACCTGATCTCGTATTTTGACAGAATTACAAGCCTGGTAGATGAAGGGAATGCAGTGGATGTAGCCTACCTTGATTTCAGCAAGGCATTTGACAAGGTGCCCCATGATATTCTTGTAAAGAAGCTGGTAAAATGCGGTCTTGACTATTCTACCACTCAGTGGATTTGTAACTGGCTGACTGACCGAACCCAAAGGGTGCTCATCAATGGTTCCTCTTCATCCTGGAGAAGAGTGACTAGTGGGGTGCCACAGGGTTCTGTCTTGGGCCTGGTCTTATTCAACATCTTTATCAACGACTTGGATGATGGACTCAAGGGCATCCTGATCAAATTTGCAGATGACACCAAACTGGGAGGGGTGGCTAACACCCCAGAGGACAGGATCACACTTCAAAACGACCTTGACAGATTAGAGAACTGGGCAAAAACAAACAAGATGAATTTTAACAGGGAGAAATGTAAAGTATTGCACTTGGGCAAAAAATGAGAGGCACAAATACAAGATGGGTGACACCTGGCTTGAGAGCAGTACATGTGAAAAGGATCTAGGAGTCTTGGTTGACCACAAACTTCACATGAGCCAACAGTGTGACGCGGCAGCTAAAAAGCCAATGCAATTCTGGGCTGCATCAATAGGAGTATAGCATCTAGATCAAGGGAAGTAATAGTGCCACTGTATTCTGCTCTGGTCAGACCTCACCTGGAGTACTGTGTCCAGTTCTGGGCACCACAGTTCAAGAAGGACACTGACAAACTGGAACGTGTCCAGAGGAGGGCAACCAAAATGGTCAAAGGCCTGGAAACGATGCCTTATGAGGAACGGCTAAGGGAGCTGGGCATGTTTAGCCTGGAGAAGAGGAGGTTAAGGGGTGATATGATAGCCATGTTCAAATATATAAAAGGATGTCACATAGAGGAGGGAGAAAGGTTGTTTTCTGCTGCTCCAGAGAAGCGGACACGGAGCAATGGATCCAAACTACAAGAAAGAAGATTCCACCTAAACATTAGGAAGAACTTCCTGACAGTAAGAGCTGTTCAACAGTGGAATTTGCTGCCAAGGAGTGTGGTGGAGTCTCCTTCTTTGGAGGTCTTTAAGCAGAGGCTTGACAACCATATGTCAGGAGTGCTCTGATGGTGTTTCCTGATTGGCAGGGGGTTGGACTCGATGGCCCTTGTGGTCTCTTCCAACTCTATGATTCTATGATTATTTTGGGGGTGGGATTTGACCAGATACCAGAGAATTCAGGCTGCACAGTTGGAGTTTGCATGGAGCACTTGCACAACAAGCCCACCCACTGGACTTTTTGTGAAAAGGAAAAGGAAAGGGGAACTACGCTGGAGTGGCATTTGACTGGCACAATGTCATCTAACCTCCTTGCAAACAAGTCATAATGAATGCACAATAAATAGCCAGGGTTGTCGAACCTCCTCACAAACTTTGTGCAGACAAGTCAGGGTGAATGCTTGATAAACAGGTCGTCTGGAAGACTGGAAAACAACTGCTGGAGGAGAAACATGGTAGAGGTGAATATATTTGTGCATTGTATGGGAAAAGTGGATACAGAGAAACGTCTCTTCCTCTCTCTAGCGATAAGATTCGGAATCACCCAATGAAAATTGACCAGCAGGAGATTCGACACAGCAGCACAAAGTCCTGCAAACAACAACAAATTCACTTCTGGAATTTGCTGTTAAATGATGCAGTGATGGTCACTAGTTCAGGTGCCTATAAATGGAGATTAAACAAAGGATTTGTCTAGTAAATACTTATGGGAGATAAACTGAATCTTTATGTTCAGAGATAGAAAGTTTCTGACAGAAATTTGCTGCTTTCATGCTCTGCTTGTGGGTTTCCCAGAAGCACCTGTTCACCGTTTTCTGTGAAAAGATGATGAGTTAAATGGCCCCTTGCTCTGTCCAGCAGGGCTCTTCTTAGGCTATTACGACAGGGGTGGGGAACCTGTGGCTCTCCAAATGTCGCTGGACTACAACTCCCACCATGCCTGACCACTGGCCATGCTGGCTAGGGCTTGTGGGAGTTGTAGTCCAGCAACATCTGTAGGCTTGCATCTGTGTGTAAAGCTCTTGGTTCAGTTCTTTCTGTCTGGAGATAAAAGAGCTCACCTGTGAAAGACTCTTACATGGTACCTCGGAGAGATGCTTTTAGTTGACAAAGACCAATGAAAGTGGAAGTTATATATAGTATAGTTATAATTTAATTCCACACACATACACACCCACACACATATATACCCCTAAATAATTAGCTGAGCTGGCAAAATGATAAGAGCCTTTTGATCTAGAAAAAAAAACCCACTTGAGATCATTTATTTATTTATTTGAAACGGTTCTTTTACACTACTTTCTTTCTACAACAGCAATTAAGGGAACCAACATAATAATTAAACACACACAATCAAAAGTATTGAGATTTTAAAAGCCAGTGCAGAACAATGAGACAAAAATTTTAATGATGGGATAAGACTCATAGTACATCAACGTGAGAGAAAGATGAGTATACGGGAGTTTCTTCAGTCTGCATTTATTATCAGAACTGTAGACAGTCTTATTAATACTAATGATCCAGGTTCCCTTCACAGACAGACAGACAAGCAACAACATACACACACACACAGAGAGAGAGAGAGTTGCGCAGAAGCAGTTTCCCCATAAAGCGCTCCAATATCACTGTGCAGGGATGAAGGACCCACATATCTGAAGATAACAAGATCTTGAACATTTGCTTGATGTAATAAACCTCTTTTCTGGGTTCAGGAGGTGATTGCAAGCCACACCTGGGTGATTCCAAGTCCCTTTCTTCGAGAATATTTCCTTTTATTGTCTTGTCTCTGTTGATCCTTGACTAGAGCAGGAATATGTGAGGGGGGAAATGGACAGTTCTTTGTATGTACATAGAAGCCACTGGCTTCAAGGGATTCATATATCAAGATTAACCTTGAAATATGGAGCAAAGCAATTGGGAGAGGTCACTCCACAGATAGCTCACTGAAGCTTCAGGTAGCTTCTTAAATTCCACTGGAATAATCTTTAGAGTGCTGTAGAGGGGGATTCAAGGCCTTGGTCTAGCTTATGAGAGGGAGAGATAGAGAGAGAGAATGCAAAGAAGCCTCATCAGAAAGCAATGGATCTAAAATGGATCTAAAATAATGGCGATAAAAGCACTTTTGAACACACATACATTGGGCAGGGGGGCACAAACAAAGAAATAGACCCAATTTCAATTCTCTGCCAGCCATAAACCTTAAGTTGTTGTTGTTGTTGTTTAATTAGGGAATTGATTTGAAATCAAAGCCTCTCTAAAAACAAATCAATTATTCCTTTCCTTTCCTTTTCATTTTTAAAAAAGCAAGAGCCACTCTCTTGAGTCATGCCTTACTAAGCAGAAGAGCGGGAGGACGGGTGGAATAAATGGAGAGCTGGCAGCGTCTGTAGCTGCAAGGTCTGCTGTTTGCGAACAGCCTTAAGGAAGTGTAAGATTATTGCTCGTCTCCCTCCAGACTTCCATCCTAGAAAACGAGGGCACAAATCCAGCCCAAATTCAGTGCATGATAAGAAGCCCTGGCGGTTTCATTGGGTTAGCTGAGCACAGCGCTGCTTCAACTGCGGCTGAATCATGCCCTCTTTAGTTAATTTCAATTGACAATATTATGATTTCCCCAAGAGCCGAGAAGGCATGTTTGGCATTTAAGCTCGGAGTTTGTGGGAAATGGTTCCAATTCTCTCTTCCTTTTTCCCCTCCACTGCCAGTTTCTCAGACATCCTGTTTGTGAGGCAGCCATACAACGAAAGCCTGTCACATAGATCTTTATGGCTCTGGCGACCCATAATTATGGCTCTGGCCACCTGGTTTAAGATAGGATTGGGCCTCTTGATCATCTGGATCTATCTATCTTCTCTGAGGGTGTCTTTATGTGGCACAAGGGTGGGGGATCTTTTGGAGCCTGAGGGCCATGATTCCTTCTTTGCAAGCTTTCAAGGTCCATGTGCCATGGGGCCAGAGGGAAAAGTGGGTGGAGCTGTGGATTAAAATTTTACTTTTGTACAATAGGCTGGTTTCTGCACAACAGGGGTGCCAGCTCCTCCAGATGATTGGGGGGAGTTAGGGGGCAGAGTCGAATGCCCTCTGAACATTGAGGTGGCCCTGCCCCCTAAAAAAAAAAGTTGGGGGGCCGAAAAAGCCTCAGCCCTTAGGAGTCAACGCCCATCCAGGCAAGGGACATTATCAGAGTAATAGCAGCCAACTCCTAGGGGTTGAGGTCCCTTCGAGGCCCCCCAATAAAATATTTCAGCCCCTTCCCAAAGTTCATGGACATTGCTATTCAAATGGTTTGTGTGTGCCATGTCTTGTGATCAGTTATGCAGGGTGGGCCTTACCTCCACCCCCCACACAAATATTTCATTCAAGTCAGCACCCCTGATCAGAGTTCAAGGTCACATTCCAGCCAGGCCAAAAAGAGACTTGCAAGGTGTGATACTAAGCCAGTGAGGGCTGGGGCCTTTGGCAGAGGGATGGCGCTGCACAGTCCAAATCTGGTTTTGAGCTGAAGAATCCTAAGAAGGGAGAGCAGCCTGGACCACCAAGTTGCACCTGAACAGCGAAATGCGCAGATACACCAGACACACCTGGTCACAGTCTTCCCCACTAAAGTGAGATGTATTTAAATCACAATTATTTGTATATTTGCAGCTATGCAGATAAATTAGCTTATGGAAATGATATGTGAATCACTCCCATCTTTTGTGGAGGGGTTTTCCTCTCCTTTTTTTTTTTGTGATTCATAAGTGGCCCCTGACTACCATCAGGTTTATTCCAAGGTGGAATAATTCAATGCATTAAAAGGGGAGGATCATCATCGCTGCTGCTTTTCGGTTTCAGTTTGGAGAATGGGTTTCTCAGTGCCTTTTCACAAGAATGTAGAAATGGTGCAGTGTCAGTTGGATTCCACATTCCCTTTATTCCAGCACTTTCTTAATTCAAGGCACGATTAATATTTTCACCTACCAACCCATTTTAATGGAGGGAGATGTGGAGACGGTCTCGGCAATATATACATTAGTGCTAAATTAATGTACCTTTCTTTAACCTGAGATCCCCAAAAAAAGAGCCAAAATAAAGCCTCCAACTTGGCTTGTTAAATTTTAATATCAAACTGTTCAATTAAAAAAGTAAGCAGCTGCCATCTGCTCCACTCTGCGAGAACAAACCAAGAGCAGCGCCGCTAAGAGAGACCATTTCTACCAAGCCACTTTTACGGCTACTTCTTTGTTTTCCTGCCAACAGAGGAGGGAGGAGGCGGGTCACTCGAAAGACTGGCCTCCTCTCCTGACTCAGAGTCAGCGAAACATCTCACATGATGCACTGACCTGAAGCTCCAGAGAACAAGGAGTCTGTTAGCCTGCAGTCATGTGAAAAAGCCTTGGACGTGCCGCTGTTCTTGCCCAAATATTAATCAGCAGAGAGAATGCCTCAAAAACAGAGGCAGGGCAGAGGGACAGCAAGTAAGGATAAGTGGAGGGATTTGATTCAGTTTGCATTTAAACGCATTCTGAAACAAATTGCAAAACAGAAAAACAGCCACCCGTCAAAATCCGCACTGCTCCGTGTTTTGCAATGCAGTTCTCTAGCCAATTCATGCTGGGAATTACTGTAATGGGAGTTTCAATGGCGTTGTGGTTAGAGTGCTGGACAACCGGCTCACATCTTCTACATAGAATTAGAGAATTGTTGAGATGGAAGGAACTCTGAGGATCCAGCCCACTGCAATACAGGAATCTCAACTAAAGCATCCATGACAGATGGCCAGCCAACCTCTGCTTAAAACCCCCAAGGAACGAGAGTCCACCACATCTTGTGAGAGAGTGTCCCACCGTCAGAAGGTTCTTCCTGGTGTTTAGTTAGAATCTCCTTTCTCGTAACTGGAACCCATTGGTTCAGATCCTAGCCTCTGGAGAAGGAGAAAATGAGATTCCTCCATCTTCCATGTGACAGCCCTTGAGATATCTGAAGATGGCT